CGCAGGCCTTTAATCCCAGTGTTGAAGAATCAGAGGCAGGCAGATCTCTGCGATCTCAAGGCTAGCTTGCTTTATAGCAAGTTCTAGACAATCCAGGGCTGCATAGTAAGACTCTGTCTCAAAAAAAAAAATTGCATGAAAAGGTCCCCAGATTTGACTTCCCAAACACAGCCACCCTGTGCAACAGGTAGCCCGTCCTTGGTGTTCTGCAGCCCCGCTGGCCAATCCTCATGCATTCCTGGATTGGCAACCTGTGATTTTCTGTCAATCTAGTTTCAGGCCCAAATGGTCGCCGTGCTTGGCACTCAGTCTCCCTGTGTCCTGCCACAGCTGAGTAGGCTAGAGGCTCATTACAGAGGCCTAGAGTTGTGTCAGGTGATAGTAACCCATCAGGTGGATATGCCATACTGCCTATTAGGGCTTCCAAAAATGAACAAAATGGGTAATCTGAGTGTGGGGTTGTTGGATGCTGTCCCAGGCTTCAGTAATCTGTGTAGGACCATACTGTGTCCCTTCTGGGGAACCCAGGGCTAAGTGTAGCCCCTGTTTTCTAGGAAATAAGGCCTATATACAGGACCTTGCTACATGCAAAACCCTAGGGCTAGCAAGGGCAACATTGCCTTGAAGATGTATGCATTGGCTGGAGGTATACCACAGAAGTAGAATGACAACCTAGCATACACAAGGCCTTGGATTCTAGGTTGAAGTGAGAGCAGAGGGTGTCTATACAGGCCTTCCTATTAGACCAGGCTGCTGGAGCCTCTGGGAACTTCACATTCCTGGATATGCTAGGAACTCTAGCCTTCTGATCCCCCTTCCCCTGTCTCTGGATCTGTCATCCAGGGACGTGTCCATGGCCTAGACCTGTACCCCATGAGAAAGCCATCCCTGCATTTTCCTAAAGTCATATGCTGAAACTGTAATACTACCAGGGCCACCAGGATGGCCCTCCATGCTCTGCCACCACTCACTGTCCCTAGCCTCAACCCTAGGTGACAGGATGTAGAGTTGGGCCTTGATCTTGTGGGGAGGACTAGGAAAAAGGGGCAGTGGCCCAGGCAACCAAAGCTGTGTGTTAAGGCTTCAAAAACAGGTTGGTGGGCTCTCTCTCGTGGCTCAGACCTCTGAGGGCCACACTCCTCCTGGTGCCCCACCCAACCAGGAGTAAACTCAGGTGTTGGGAGACCTTGGCATCTTGATGTGAATTCTCAGAGCTTTGCCCCCTCTTGGTTCAAAAGAAATTGTTCCCTCTGAGCATGGTGGCTTATGCCTACAATCCCAGACCTGAGGAGACTGAGGCAGGAGGATGTTGAGTTTGAAGTCAGCCTGGACGATAGCAAAACCCTGTCTCAAAAAAAAAAAAAAAAAAAAAAGAGAGAAGATACTGTGTTGTCTTCTTTCTTCTCCACTTAGCTTGCCCTCATACCCCTGCCCTGCTTGAGGTCCCACTAATCCCACCCCCAGTTCCAAGCGTGAGGCCCCCCACTGTGTTCTCAGCAGATGGGTGAGGATGCTTGGCCACAGCAACAGCTACTAGAGTCCTTCCTAGACTGAGAGCCCACGATGAGTACTGATCACTCCCAGGCTCCTCTGGGTCATGAGGTGACAATCATGCTGGGTGCTGGTTATTCCACCTGGGCTAAGTGGGCTAGAGGCACCCTGGGGCTTTCTCCTTGATGATATGAACTTGGTGGATTTTCTTTTTTTTTCTTCCACCCCCACCCCCCAAGACACGGTTCTCTGTGTAGCCCTGGCTGTCCTGGAACTGGCTCTGTAGACCAGGCTGGCCTTGAACTTAGAGATCCGCCTGCCTCTGCCTCCCAAGTGAGTGCTGGGACTAAAGTCATGCACCACCACCACCTGGCCTTGGTGGGTTTTCAACATGAAGCCATTAAGTTAAGCCAAGGAGAAGCTAAGCGAGGACCCAAGGTGGCTTGCCCACAGCTATTCTGTCAGTATCCTTAGATTTAGGACTAGTACAGTTTAATGGTCCTGTCTGACGTTTCCAACATCCAAGTCAGTTATGAGTCAGTTTCAGCTGATTGGGGCTTTGGTTTGGTTTTTTTCCATCATAACTGGTTATATGTGTGTCTGGTATTTGGGAGGAGGGATTTTTTTTCCCCCACACAAGGTCTATGTAGATTAGGCTAGCCTCTAACCTCCCCTACAGCCAAGGATGACCTTGAACTTCTAACTCTCCTGCCTTCTGAGTGATTATCAGGGTATACCACCACATACAATTCAGTAGTGCTGAGGACTGAACCCAGGGCATGCCTACTTCGTAAGCCCTCTACCAATTGAGCTACATCCTCAACCCTGCTGGTAATTTTTGATTATATGCCAGGCATTGTGGTTTTTACCTTGCTAGGTGCTAGATATTTTAGAGTTTTCTTCCAGGATAAAATTAAATTGTAAATAGTTTGGCCTTCCTGTTAAGATTTAAGTGGTAGGCCACTGGAAGGTCAGTGATCTCCTACCACTGAGACAAGACCCTCCCGAGTACTGGACCTCACACCTTACAGATCTGTGGTTTTCAGGCTGGACAGTGGTCACAGGAACCTTACCCTGTGGAGGTATTGCAAATGCTCCCTCTGGTCCTCTAAGGGGCTGTTCTTTGTCCAGGCTTCTGAAGTTTTCACCCATGGGTACTCACCAGTCCTCAGGAGGCATCTCTGCGGATCTCTGGGTCTTTTTCTGTGAAGCTCTCTTCTTTGTAGGGCTTTGTCCTGTCAGCCCAGTCAGCCTTCGTAGTCAACCAGACATCTCACCTGTGAGAGCCCACTGGGCTCTCCTTCCTGCTCCCTGGCTCACAATAGTCCTTAGGCAGTCCTCTGAGACAAGAGGTTTCACTCACTGGTTCCCATGTTTCTTTCTTCCTCCCCCGCCCCCCCCACCCCCCACCCCTGGAGCTGAGGACTGAGCCCAGGGCCTTGAGCTTGCTAGGCAAGCGCTCTACCACTGAGCTAAATCCCCAAACCCAATTCCCATGTCTGAAGGCTCTGCAGTCTGAGATGGGGTCTTGTAGATGCTCCTTTGTATATATAGTGGCACACAGCACATAACTTGGAATGGGCGTTTTCTTCTCCATTCGGTGTTGGTTCCACTAAAAATAAACCTGGTTTCTGAGCTGGACAGGATAGTGTATACCCAGCATCCCAGCACTTGGGAGGTAGAAGCAGGGGCAATCAAGGGTTAAATGCCAGTCTTGGCTACTCAGTAGGTTTGACAGCAGCCTGGATGACCCTGTCTCAAAAACAGAGATGAGATGGGAAGATGGTTCAGCTAAAAGGTGCTTGCTGTGCAACATGAGAACCTGAGTTCAGGTCCACAGCACCACATAAAAAGCTGGGCACAGCAGCAAGTTCCTGTAATCCCAGCGCCGGGTAGATGAAGAACGATTAGCCAGTCTAACCAAACTGAGCTTCAAGTTTAGTGAGAGCCATGTCTAAATAAGACGGAGAGAGACTAAGCAAGGCACTCACTGTTGACCTCTGGCACACACACAAACACCAACACATATCTTGACCAGAAGCACAACTCCCTCTACTTGGCCAGATCGCAGCCTCTGACCGCACCGAGGCTGAACTCAACTGACATTCCTTACAAAGCTTTTTATTGCTGTGTCATGTCTGACTTCTGGAAAGTTTATCTCCCGTGCTATGACAAGAATGCAGCAAAACATGTATTTTCTGTTTGGAAGTCTAACATTTCTGTGCAGCAAGCCTGCTCAGAATGTAACATGAATTCTGGTTACTGTTTAGCTTGCTACCATCTTGGAGCATGCTCAACAAACTTCTTTCTGGTTGAATTTAATAGGTAAATTCACTTACAGTCCAGCCACTACAGACGTTTGGACACCTAAGACTCTTGGCCTTGAGGCATTGTTATATAGTAACCTGAGTAATAAAGCTATTTCCTTTAAAGAAAAAAAAAAAAAAAGAATGTGACACTAGCCAATGAAAAGTGTCTTCCTGAAGTGGCTTTGGAGTCACTGACAGAAAAGCCCACCCCAAGGTAGTTTAGCCACAGGAAGGTGCTCAGGCGCCTATGTGGGTGGGAGGAGCTCCGTCCAGTGGCCTTTTGGCTCCCACAGACAGGGAACGCCTCTGACTCTGTGCTTGTCTAGAGGCAAGGCAGTCAGGTGTAGCCCCAGGACAAAGACAGACATCTTTTCCCTGTGTGCGCAAGAGTGTGTGCGGCTGGTTCCTGCACCAGTGGTTCTGACTCTGCTCCCCGGAGAAGAAGGAAGTGAGGAAAGAAGCTGCCGGCTAGGCAGTATCTGAGAGTGAGTGTGTGAGAGCCAGCATGAGCATCGAGCTGCCGAGTACCCAGTGTGGGAACCGTGTGAGTACGTTGACTGTGTGTGTCTGATGGGGCCACTGTGTGAAGGTGTCACTGAGTGTGTCTAGTAGAGTGTGAACATGTGTGCGTTACTGTGTGAATAGCAGAGCTACTGTGTGTGAGTGTTTAAGATCACTACTGTGTGTACGTGTGGGGACTCTACAGTGAGTTATTAGGAGTGTGTCTGGGTGGCAGTGTGATCTAGGGAGGACTGTGATATGCCCAACTCTCCTAAACCTGGGCGTTGCCTACACATTCCACCTGATCCCTGGCTTCAGGGCACTGCTTACCCATGGGCACCGACCCTGGCACCATCCTATCTTCTTGGGTCATGTGTATGGTCTTAGAAGCTGACGGTGAGCCTTCCTGTGGCTGCAGCCTGTGTTCTGCCCTGGGTCTGCTATGTTGGGTGGGGGCCTCAAATGTCTTTCTTGTTTTTTTTGTTTTTCGAGACAGGGTTTCTCTGTGTAGCTTTGGAGCCTGTCCTGGAACTCACTCTGTAGCCCAGGCTGGCCTCGAACTCACAGAGATCCGCCTGGCTCTGCCTCCCGAGTGCTGGGATTAAAGAAAGGCCTGTGCCACCACTGCCCGGCAAATGTCTTTCTTTAGAACTGGACTTTGGCTCTTCCAAACACCGTTCTCTTTTTGTGTTTTTCCAGTACTTTCTAAACAGCTCTACTTCCAGTGGTCTGGGCAGGAGATTCCCAGTAGACTACTGTTCTAGTCTCTTTTGGGCAGTCCCAGGAGGAAGAGGGCATCTGTCTCTGACAGCTTCATTGGGCAACAGTGTTGGCTAACAGGTAAGTGACTGTTGTCTGCAGCCCCCTTGGTCCTCTGAAGCGGCACTTTAGCATCAAGAAGATGATTTGGGGGACTGTCTATCTCCTTCACGTCTAGTCTCACCTTTGACCCTCCTCAGAGCTGTTGATGAATCCCTTGAGCTCTAAGAGTTGACACTTGACTGTCTCCTGTCTGGTGTGCAAGCGTCACATGAACTACCTGTAGCACCCAGGTCATTTGGCTTCATCTCCTGAGAATGTCAGGGTTTAAAAAGCTGTGTGGACACAGTAGTGTGTCATAAACGGAAGCCGCCACCCTTCTGCTGCCTGTGTCACTGCTTCATGCATGAATTTTAAATATATTAAATGGCCAGTAGCCGCTCATCCACGCACTATTCCATAGGATCGTTTCTGTGTGGATGGGGGTAGGGTATGCCCGTGTGTATGTGTGTGCAGGCCAGAGGTCACATCAGCGTCTCCCTCGTATTTTTTGAGGCAGGGTTTCTCACTAGAACTCATTCTTTAGGCTGGCCATTGAGTTCCAAGGATTCAACTGTCTCCCCAGCCTCCACCCCTCGCATAGGGATTACAGGCACAGTCAGGTACCACCACACCCAACTTTTAATGTTGGTACTGTGTGTCCTCATTCTTGCACAGCAGCAAGCTCTTTACCCACTGACTCCCCAGGCCAAGGATTACTTTTTGATGTGGGTGAAAACCTTACTTTTCAGATAAAACATACTCCCTTTGCTGTTCTCTCAAAGCCTGTCTGCATAGGACCCAACTGAAGCCAATGGGGTGTTGTGAAGTAATATTTCCCACACAGCCCCAGCCTGCCCTGTCTGACTGAGGCTAACTCTTTGGAGGTTGCTTTCGGTGACTATGCTGAACAGGCTCCTTTCTCCCCAACAGGAAGCCGGCAGCCTCCTAGCAGAGCCCAGTGAGTTTGGCCGTGAAGATGGAATTGGGTAGGAACTCTTCGACTCCCCAAGACGCCATTGCCCCTCCTGGGGTTCTTGGTGCTGGGCCCAGAAGCTCCCCACTGGGGAAGCTTCAAGCACTTCCCATTGGGCCAGGTGCCCACCGAGGGGCTCCCAGCAGCCCAGCTTCAGCAGGGGACAGCTCTTTGGGGGAGTCAAGTGGTGCCATGAAGATCCCCAACAGGGACAGTGGGATTGACAGCCCATCCTCCAGTGTGGCCAGTGAGAACTTTCCCTGTGAAGAGGGAAGTGGGGGCTCCCCAGGCCCTGCCATACTGGGGCTACACTCTGAGACAGCTGTGGACGGCCAGGTCCCACAAGACACCCCCCAGGAGGAGGAAGATAGTGGCATGGGTGAGGAACCTGACCCTAAGATCATCCCTTCCGGGCCAGAGGAGAATGTCAGCTTGACTCAGGTAAGTCCGGCTTCCTCTACACCCAACACAGGGTGTCTGGGCAGCGCTAGATATTTGTACTGTGTAACACCTACACCTGTGCTCAGGAAATGTACCCACACACTCACTCCACACAAGGGTAATGCCTGGGATGGAGTCTACCAGAAAAGGCCAGATGGGGCCCCTGATACCTTGGGTGTGCTCATCCATGACACTTGAATGTGGTTTTTTCCTCACTGGGGTGTGTGTGTGTGTGTGTGTGTGTGTGTGTGTGTGTGTGTGTGAGAGAGAGAGAGAGAGAGAGAGAGAGAGAGAGAGAGAGAGAGAGAGAGAGAGAGAGAGGGTTATATAGATAGTTATCAATTATTTGAAAGTTTGGTAGAATTTCTAAGTAAGTAAGCCACCTGTCCCTTATCCTTTGTTGGGAATTTTGGAATTATTGAATCAATGTCCTTATTCATTGCTTTTTTCCAGATGTTTTTATTTCTTCATGATTTAGTAGTCTTTATAGCCAAGTATTTCTGAGGATTCATTTTTTTCTAGGTTGTACAACTTGTTAGCACATAATTGCTCACTTTCTTATATCCTTTTTATCTGCACATCACCATTGGTAACAATACCACCCCTCTCTCATTTCTGACTTTAGTAACTGAGTCTTCTCTCTGTTCTCTAAGGTAACCTAGATAAAGTTTGTGAGGTTTTTTTTTTTGAGCTTTTCAGAAAACCGACTTTGGCTTGATTACTCTTTTGAAATTGTTTTTCCATTCTTTGTCTTTTATCTCTGCTCTGATCTTTCTTACTTCCTGCCTTCTTATAGCCTAGCCTTGGGTTTAGCCTGCTCTTGCTCTTCTGGTTTCTCAATATGTGCAGTTCGGGTGTTTTAAGATGTTTGTGTATATAATTTTTTTCTGGTGCAGGGAATGGGACCCAGGATCTTGGACATGATAGATAAGTGCCATGTCACTGACTGTTCTCAGCACTTCTTTCTTTCTTTGTTTTTTGAGTGTCTGTGTTCACATGTGTAGGGGTCATACTTTTGCATGCAGGTGCATGTGCACCTGTGTGGGCATGCATGTGGAGGCCCTAAGTTGACGTTAGGTGTCTTCCTGGAACCCTCTCTGTTGCTAGAGTTTTCCTGCCTGGCCCACAGTCAGGGCAAATCTCTCTCACCCGCCAGTCCCACAGCCGTCAGACCCGACCAAGTAAACACAGAGACTTGTATTGGTTTCAAACTGTATGGCCATGGCAGGCTTCTTGCTAACTGTTCTTTCAGCTTAAATTAATCCATTTTTATAAATCTATACCTTGCCACATGGCTCGTGGCTTACCGGCATCTTCACATGCTGTTTGTCATCATGGTGGCTGGCAGTGTCTCTCTGACTCAGCCTTCCACTTCCCAGCTTTATTCTCCTCCTTGTCCCGCCTACACTTCCTGCCTAGCCAATGGCCAATCAGTGTTTTAATTATTGACTAATCAGCAACACATTTGACATACAGAACATCCCACAGCACTTCCCCCCCCTTTTTTTTTTAAAAAAAAGGAAGGTTTTAACCTTAACAAAGTAAAATTACATATAATTTGGGAATTTGGGCGTAGCTTCTCTTACTACTTCCTGCTGGAGGGGGGCGCTGTATCTTATGGGGATACAAAGAAAATTTTAGGATCATGGAAAAGTCCATGAGGGTGTATCGTCTGAGCCAGTTGCCTTCAAACCATTCTGGATGTTGGATCATCTGGGCCATGGTGTCATCGGAGACCTTTCAGGGGGTCTTGGCTGGTCAAACCTGATGTATCTTAATCTGGAACAAATCCATAGCCTCTGGCTTTCTGTGGGACCTCTCCACTGTGTTTCTTGAGGCAGGATCTCTCCTTGACCTACGGTGCTCCCATTGGCTAGTGTAGCTCACCAGCTTGCCCTGGGATCTTAATTTGCCTGTATCAGTGGATTTTCTCCATTTTCTGGCTTTATTCCATTGTGACTGAAAAAGTATCTTGAATAATTTCAGCTTTCTTGAATTTGTTAAGACCTGTTTTATGCAGCACATGGTCTATCCTGAGCAATGTTCATCATATGTTGCACTGTTGTCAGGAGAACATTATGTATGGTGTTGTCCAAGACCTCGGTTTGCCTACCATCTTCTGTCTAGAATGGGATCTTTCTTCCCATTACAGAAAGATGGGTATTCTAGCTATTAACTTGTTGCTGGTTAGTTCTCCATCCAATGTAGTTACAGTTTACTTCATATATTGTGATATCTTCTTGGTGATGCTTTTTATCATTGTATTATGCTTTTTATAGTTTTTTTAAATTTTTTAAAACATGGTTATTTATTTAGTGTGTGGAGGGGTATGGCAGTCAGAGGACAACTTTGTGGAATGGATTCTCTCCTTTCCACCACGTAGGTCCCAAGGATTGAACTCAGGTCATCAGGTTCAGTGGCAAACACCTTATTCTGTTTGCTATAAATAAGGACATTCATTTTCTTTTTTGGGGGGGAAGGGGGAAGTTGTTATTTGCATAGGATTTCATCTTCCATCTTTCTCCACTTCCATCCTGTGGTTTCTTATATGCAAATATACAAAATGAGTCTCTTGTGAATAACATATGTAGGTGGATTTTTCTGTCCCTCCTGCCAGCTCCCAAATCATGACATGGAGACTTATTATTAATTGTGAAAGTTCCGTCGGTAGCTTAGGCTTGTTTCTAACTGGCTCTTGTTACTTGAATTAATGCATTTCTGTTAATTTACTTTCTGCCTGGTGGCTTTATTGCCTTTCCTCTGTACTATCCATGCTGCTTTCCTGCTTCCTCCGTCTCTGCCTGGCAACTGTCCGTGTCACCACCTTCTTCCCAGCATCCTCTCTGCCCTGAAAATCCTGCCTAGCTATTGGCCATTCAGCTTTTTATTAAACCAATCCAGGTGACAAATCTTCAGTGTACAAAACAAGAACATATTTAGGAAAGAGGGAGTGTGATAGTGCACACCTGCAATCCTAGGATTAGAAGCTTAAACTCACCCTCAGCTACATAGGAGTTTGAGTCCTGTCTGATTTACAGGAGACCCCGTCTCAAAACCAAACCAAACCATAATTGTTGTTTGTTTGCTTGCTTCTTGGTACCCCAGGACCAACTCCCCTGGATGGTGTGGGGTGGGGTGTAGCTGGAGAGCTTCTATCCAGGTCCCATCAAGCCCCCACAGTCCCACAACCCTATGTATAAAATAATCACTCAGACGCTTATACTACTTATAAACTGTATGGCCGTGGCAGGCTTGTTATCTACTTCTTTTATCTTAAATTAACCCATTTCTATTAATCTATAAGTTGCCATGTGGCTCGTGGCTTACCGGTACGTTACATCTCGATTGTCATGACGGCAGCTGGCAGGTCTCTCTCTGCCTTCCTGTGACCTTCCATTCTCCTCTCTGTTAGTCCCACCTATACTTCCTGCCTGGCTACTGGCCAATCAGTGTTTTATTTATTAACCAATCAGAGCAACACATTTGCCATACAGAACATCCCACAGCAGTGGGGGAAGAGAGAGAGGGATTGACTCACTTTATACCTCAGGCTGGCCTGGAACTCGCCTCATAGTCGGGCTGTCTTGCATTCTCATCAATCCTTTCACTGGAATTACAGGCATGTGCTACCACACCCAGCTTCAGTTGTCTTTAGTTCATTTGACCTGTGTATTTTTTTATGAAGAGTTTACAGATTACATGTAAAGTCGGTTGTAGATGTAACCAACCTTCTTATTAAATAAGAAACACAGAACCAATGCAAAGAAGAAAGCCAAGAGGTCAGAGCTAAGAGCTAAAACCTTACCCTTCCTCCTGCAATGGTCCTACCTCTCCGAACCAGAGCTACTTTCTGTGTTAAAGTCCTTATATAGAATTTCTGTTCTGCCTTCTCATTGGTTGTAAACCCAACCACATGACTGCCTCGTCACGGCCTGTCTGTATAGACCTCCAGGTTTTCCATGATTGGTATTGAGATTAAAGGCATGTGTATCCAATAATGGCTGTATCCCTGAACACACAGAGACTTACCCAGCTCTGCCTACCAAGTGCTGGGATCACAAGCGTACGCCACCACTGCCCTGCTTTCCTATGGCTTGCTAATAGCTCTGACCCCGGGCAACTTTATTTATTAACATACAAATAACATTTTAATACAAATAAAATATCACCATAGTCGGTACTAATGGGGACGGACACGAAGGCCACTCGTGAGGCTGCTGCCTGCACCGGTCACTCTCTTGCTCTCCCCTTTCCTCTCTTACTGTGTGTCTTTGCAATTTATTTCATTGATTTTGGTAATGATCTACTTTGATTCCTTCTACTTTCCTTTTGTGCATATTCATAGATGTTTTACTTCTAGCTACCATTGCTGTTCCTAAAACATTTTAAATTTGCAGCGTTTCATTTGATGCTGACATCCACCTCCTCCTTCCTGATGCCACAAACTCACCTGGATATGTCACAGACCATTGAAGATGGATTTCACGTTTTTCTTATTACTATTTCTGGCCTGTGTAACCCAGGATGACCCCAAACTAATAATTCTCCTGCCTTAGGCTCTTCACTGTTAGGATTACAGGCGTGTGCGACCACACCCACATCCAGTTTATGTGGTGCTAGCATGGAATCCAGAGACTCCTGCACACTAGGCAAGTGCTCTACCAGCAAGTGCTCTGCCAGCGAACCATCCCTGTTGCTCCATTCCATTATCTCTATCTGACCGACTCCTTTTGCTGTTCTTTTCCCCCAAAGATATATTTTCTTATTTATTTACTATGTGTCTAATTAGGGTTTCTATTGCTGTGAAAAGACACCATGACCATGGCAACTCTTATAAAGGAAAACATTTAATTAGGACTGGCCTACAGTTTCAGAAGTTTAGTCTGTTATTGTTATGGCAGGAAGCATGGCGGTATGCATGGTGGTAAACAGGAAGACATAGTGCTGGTGTTGAGAGTTCTTGATGCATAGGCAGCAGAAGGAGACTGTGTACCACACTGGGCATAGCTTGAGCATATGAGACCTTAAAGCCCACCCTCACATCAGATTTAATAGCAAACACTTTATTTCTCTACTGACTGATTTTAAGTGACTTCTTTGGGAGCTGGAGAGATGGCTTGTGGGTTAAGAGCACTGGTTGCTCTTGCAGAAGACCTGGGTTCAGTTCCCATTACCTACAACTATCTATAACTCCAATTTCAGGGGATATGATACTCTCTTCTAGCCTCTTCAGGCACCAGGCATACACCTAGTGCACATATATACATCTAGGCAAAACATTTATATACATAAAATAAAAACAAATAAATCTTGAAAAAAGGCAGGGTGTGGTGCTGGAGAGATGGCTCAGCAGTTAAGAGCACTGGCTGCTCTCCCAGAGGCCCCAGTTTGATTCCCAGCACCTACATGACAGCTTGCAACCTTCTGTAACTCCAGTTCCAGGGGATCTGATGCCCTCTTCTGGCCTCCACGGGCACTGCATGCACATGTGCACAGACAAGCAAAAACACCCATACAATAAAATAAAAAAGAGAAGACGATCACAACAATTTCCTGTTCGAATGACTTCTCCTCAAGTTTGCAGTTTCTTTTGCCTGTTCAAGTCTGGATGGACCCTCTTTATGAGCTCCACAGGCTATTCAACTCCAGAATGTCTGCTTCGTTCTTTTTAATGGTTTTGTTTATATCCCTGTTGATGGTGTTTCTTGTTCATATGTCATTTCTTAAATTTTTTTAGCACATTTACGACAGATTTTTTTCCATCTTTGCTTGATCATGGATCTGTGTGTGTGTGTAGGTACACATGCATGTATGTGCACTTGTGTGTGGAGGCCAGAGTACAACCTTATGTCTTCCCTCAACTGCTCTCTACCTTGGTTTCTTTGAGACAGTGTTTCTCACTGGGGTCTAGTGCTCACTGATTAGTCTGGGGAGCTGGCCAGAGAGCCCCAAGGATCTACCTATCTCTCTCTCTCCAGTGCTGGAATTACAAGTGCGTGTCATCACGCCTAGCTGTTGTATATCAGTACCGAGGACTAAACTCAGGCTCTTGTGCTTATGTGGCAAAGACTTTGTTGACTGAATTGACGCCCTCAAGCCCCAGATCTACAGTTCTTTAGGGTCAACTTCAGGGGGATTGTTTTCTTCCTCTGATTGGGTCATATTCTCCTGCTTCTATGTATGGTTTATAAGTTTTGTTTGTGGCTTTTAGTTTTGGCTGGATGGGGGCATTTGAAGAAACCATCCCTCCAGACTGTGTGGAGCTTTAGGTGAAGGAAGACTTTATCAACACAGCTGGGGGTCTCAGAGCATCTGCCTGTGGAACCCGAATTCTTACATGCTGCTGGCCTTTGTTTTCAGTGACTTTCACACTCCAGTTCTGGGTTCATCTGCTCTCTACTCATGCAAGACAGAGTCCACAGTCCCAAGCCCCTGGGTAGAGCTCTGAGGAGTCAGACCTATCAGTGCCTGGATGAGTTTTCTGTTTCTGCCCTGCAGGCCTAGTCCTGGTGTGGAAGGGACCCTGGTGTGGGAGGAGCCCTGGTGTGGACGCCCCCCCCCCCCATTTGTTCTGTGCCATATTGCATAGGGGGAGGAATGCTGAAGGGCATTGCCATAGACTGAATATGCACCCCAGAAGTCACCTGCTAGAGTCTTGTCAGCAATGTGATAATACTGAGATCATGGTCTGTTTCGTGGTTAAGCCTTTAGGAGGTGTTAAGTAATGAGGATGGAATCAGTGTCCCCACAGAAGGGAGTGGGGAAAGCCTGGGAGGTAGCCCAGCAGCCTGTGCTTGCCTTAAGATGTGTTCAGGGCAGGGTTCAATCCCCAGCACTGTCCAATAAAATAGCGACCAGGGAGGAATTCGTGGGCTCCTGTTCTTCTGTTCTTCTGTCCCGTGAGGATGAAGCAGCCTTCATCCCTCTTCCCTTTCCCTCCCCTTTCACACTGTAAGCTCAGGCATCAGCATCACCATTTTGAAACAGAGACTTGTGACCTCACCAGACACCAGACCTGCCCATGCTTTGACCTTGAAATTCCAGCCTCCATAACTGTGGGATACATTTCTGTTGTTTATAAACTATACACTCACAGGCACTTTGCTATCTGCCAAACAACTAGACTGAGATGGGTATATCCAGTGCCACCAATTTTCCCACCTTCCCCTGGGCTCCCTTTGTGGCACACACACGTGGGTGCAGTGGTCGCTCACTTTGTGTCCCCAGCTCTCATAGGTTTTCTGGTCTGTATGTTGTTCCATCAGGGTCTCTGAAGAGTACCTGCAGCTTGGTGGCCTTCTGTTTTGTTGATGTCACTTTGCAGTAGTGTGGCAGGCTTTCTTTTGGACCATCAACCAGCTCCCACATCACGACACAGAGACTTATTGTGAGTTTTGAAAGCTCGGCCTTAGCTTAGCTCTTATTTTAATCTGTTTCTCTTTATCAACATTTTGCCTTGGGCCTTTTTACCTTCCTTCCTTTCTTCCTTCCTTCCTTCCTTCCTTCCTTCCTTCCTTCCTTCCTTCCTTCCTTTCTTTCTTTCTATCTTACTTTCCTGCTATCTCCATGGCTAGCAGGTGGCTGCCTGGCTTCTGGCCCCAGGAGTGTCCCTCCATTTTCTCCCACGTTCTCTCCTCCTTCTTTTAGACCAATCAGGTGCCTTAGGCAGGCAAGGTGAAACAAATGCAACACATCTTTACATCGTTAACAAAGGCAGCAGAAATAAATGTAACACATCTTTACACAGTTAAACTAACATTCTGCAGTATAAACAAATGTAACACACCTTTACATAGTTAAATATTCTACAACACAGTAGGGCATATATGAGCGTGTGTGTGGTGTGTGTGTGTGTGTGTGTTGCTAGTGATGGAACCCCAGGTTTTAAGCATGGTAGGCAAATTTTCTCTCGCTGAGTGGCACTCCAGCTATACATTGGATTCTGATGGGGTTGCTATGGCTGCTCCCTAGTTAGAGGTCCAGAAACATAACAGTCCCATCTGGACTGAAGAAGCTTTGGAGAGACTGGCAGAAACTGCTGTGCTTTTTCTAGAACTCTCCATGCAAATAGCATCTAAGAGAACCAAGTACCACATCTGAGACTCAGGAGTCTCTTTCTACTCCCTCTGCACCCTGGGCATCCTGGTGTATTGTGGGTAGCCTTGTTAGGTGCACCGCCCCCACCCCCAAGTAAGTGGCTTCCCTTCTTTCTGCAGTGCTCTGACCCACAGAAGCTGCTGCACATTGCTCAGGAGCTCCTGCACACAGAGGAAGCCTACGTGAGGCGTCTGCACTTGCTGGACCAGGTAGCGTGGAGGGCTGAGAATCCCCTTCTCTCCATGCCCAGAATTCAAACTACAGATCCCTTCACATTGTTTGGGTATCATGTTTAGAGTACGAATTCAGATAAAGTCTGGCCGAAAACAGATTTTTTTTGTTCCCAGTCCTTGTGGCTCTGGGGCAGCAGCTCAGCATGTTCACTTTGGGGGGACATTTCTTCATGGAGAATGCATGATTTGAACACATGAACGATGTTGGGGTCTGAGGAGATGCCTCAGTTAGTAAAGTGTTTGCCTTGCAGGCACAAGGGCCTGAGTTTGATTTTTAGAACTCATGTAAAAATGCCAGGCTAATCATGATGGCTAATGCTTATGATTCCAGCACTGGGGAGGTGGAAACAGAGAGATACCGTGAGCTTGCTGGCCAGACAGTCTAGTCTTACCTACTCGGCAAGTTTAAGGTTTAGTGAAAAGACCTTGTCAAAACAAACAAACAAACAAAAAACCCAAAACACAAGATGAATGATGCCTGAGGAATGACATCTGAAATTGTCCTTTAAGCTCCACGGCATGCACACATCTATGCCCATGTGCACCTGCACTCTCATGGACGTGCACACATGTACACACAACACATCCATAGCTAGGCCAGTGGGGGCTATGCATCCCTGCCCACAGAAAATACAGCACCCAGAAAACAAGGTTTGCACAGGGTGTGGCTCCTGCCTGTGCCTCACAAGCCAGAGAAGATCTCCTTCTACTCCTGAGAGGGTGATGATGAAAGATGTCACACCCCATCCACCCCACACTGCTCCTACCTTAACCCCGATCCTCAGCTGTAAGCAGGCTTTCCATAGACTTAAAGCTGGAGGATTCTGGTTCTGACATTCGTCAGGAAAACGTAAATGGGGCTAGAGAGATGGCTCAGCAGGTAAGAGTGTGCCTTAGTTAGAGTTACTATTGTTGTTTTGAAACACCATGACCGAAAGCAAGCTGGAAAGGAAAGGGTTTATTTGCTTTATGCTTCTACATCATAGTCCATCACTGAAGGAAGGTGGAGAAACTCAACCAGGGCAAAAACATGGAGGCAGGAGCTGATGCAAAGGTCATGGAGGAATGCTGATTCCAGCTTGCTCTTCAAATTCACTCAGCCTGCTTTCTTAAGAGCACCCAGGACCAACAGTCAAGGGATGGCACCACCCACAGTGGGCTGGGCACTCTCCCATCAATCACTAATTAAGAAAATGCCCCCCAGCACGATCTTATGGAAGCATTTTCTCAACTGAGGTCCCTCCTTTCAGATGACTCTAGCCTGTGTGAAGTTGGCGTAACAGCCATCACAGAGTGTTTACTATGCAAGCACGAAGCCCTGTGTTTGAATCCCAGCACCCACATAAAGAGTGCACACTTGGAGGCTGGAGTGATGGCCCAGCAGTTGGGGGCACGGGGTGCTCTTCCAGAGGACCTGGGTTTGGTCCCTAGCACCAATGAAAGACCTTACAGCCATCTGTAATTCTAGTTCCAGAGGCTCCGAGGCACAAGGCACACAGGTGCATAGACATAACTCAGACAAAGCATTCGTAAGCATAAAATAAACATAAACAAAGTGGCACACACATCTGTCACCCCAGCAGCATGGAGTGCAAAGACGGGGCTGCTGGGGTTTGCTGGCTGCTAACCTCTGCTCAAGAGAGTGCGGTGGGGACAGCAAGACACTGATGTCTTCCTCGGGCCTCTGCATATACACACAGGTGTGTGCACTGCATGCACCACACACACACACACACACACACACACACACACACACACACACACACAGAGTAAATTTTTTGTTTGTTTGCTTTGTTTTCAAGACAGGGTTTCTTTGAGTAGTCCTGGCTGTCCTGAAACTCGCACTGTAGGTAAGGCTGGTCTCGAACTCACAGAGATCCACCTTCCTCTGTTTCCAAAGTGCTGGGATTAAAAAGTGTGCCACCTAATTAAAAAAAAAATTTTTAATTAAAAAAAAAAGCCAGGTGATGGTGGTGCATGCATTTAATCCCAGCAGTTGGGAGACAGAGGCAGGTAGATCTCTATGAGTTTGAGGTCAGATTTAAAAAAAAAAAGGAAGCCAAGAGCCCACTCCTGTGGTAAGTGTCTGACTGGCTCACGGTGGCCATTGTGGGCTTCTCTGTGCTCAGGTCTTCTGCACCAAGCTGACAGAAGCGGGGATCCCTCCAGAAGTCACCACGGGTGTTTTCTCTAACATCTCTTCCATCTACCGTTTCCACGGGCACTTCCTCCTGCCCGAGTTGAAGAAGAGGATCACAGAGGAGTGGTAAGTGTGGTCCATGGCCACCCACAGGGCCTCTAAACCAGGTTCTTGGGGGTGGGGGGCTGGGTGCCTCCCTTCCCTGAGAGTCTGGTTCCAACACCAGCCCCGCCTCTTCCGGGGTGGTGGCTGTGACTGGGCCGTGGGGGCTCTGTGAGCTTGTGGATCAGGATGAGATCTGACCTCTGGAAGCAGCATAGAGGTTAGCAGCCAGCAAACCCCAGCAGCCCCCTGGAGTTTTATTTTCTCTCTCAGCCTGTTTCTACCTTTGCTTTTAAAAAGGACTTTCTCTTCAAGAGTGGTTCCAGTCCTTTGCTTTCTGTGGCCCTCAGCTTCTGCCTATCTTTAGCAAAAGCTGCAAGCCACAGTTAATGTGATGCCACGAGAGAGGCCGACCAGTTTTAGCCATGTACCCCTGCATTTGGGAAGGCATGAAGTTTGCCTTCCTTCCTTTGCAGGCTGGCTTGCCCCTCGTGTCTCCTGACTCTGCCTTGGGTGGTTGGGGGTATGTCTTGTCGTCTTTGTCTCAGTGTGTGGCTGGGCCATTTTGTGAATCCTCAGAAGTGGCAGGGCAGGCTGCACTGTGTCCTGAAGGTGTTTAGAGCTGGCCGTGGACTTCGGGGGACAAGGCTTGTCTGCAGCACAGGCTTTCTCCTTCCATGCTCTGGAATCCCTACGCGTCCGCACAGTGTCTCTGCAGTCCTGTAATGATGCTGACACAGGGCCACTTGTTGCTTAATTTTGTAAAATCAAAACTTGGTGCACAGTTTCACAGGAGTACCAAGTGGTGCCTTTCTGACTGTGCTCTTTTTCCTTTGGTTTTGATAATTACTAAGGATAAATCTTTAAAAGAGAGTTCTAAGATCAAAAATTACTGTGTTGATTTTTCCTGTGGAGATGTGAACAACATCTGTTTACCCAAGATAGGGCACCAATGATAGACCAAAAAAATTTTTTAAAAAAATTAAAAAGGGGATTCCACCCAATCCCGGCTTAGTTGAAGCAGTGAGTTTATTGGGGTTATTTATGGGAGCATGGGTGGCTTCAAGGTGTCTGCAGCAGGGGAGGTCTCATGAAAGCTGCATTCCTGAAGCTCCCCCACAGCTTGAATGCAGCCTGGCCCAGTGAAAAGTCTCTCCCAAGCAATTGCTACCGCTTTTAGGACCTTGGGGCGAGGCCTTCTGAATCGTGTAAGTTACAGGAGCTTCCTGAAGTTTTGGTCAATTCCTGAGTCTGGTTAAGTTTTACTGCCTGAGTCTTAAGGACCGCCCCCCCCCCCTTTTCTGGAGGAGATGTTTTAATGCAGAGGCCATAATTGCACAACTATTATCATAATATTTGCTTCCTAGAATTTATTTGTTCACTCAGCGCACTAAGAAGTTTTCGCTGTTGGTCTTGCAAAGTCCGCTTCTCTCTGTGGCTTTGGTGGCAGTGTATAGATCCGTCATTTTCTAATCTGTGCTCATTTAGAATAGCACTTCACTGACCGGCCCACCAATCAGGGGCAGCACCGTTGCTAAGACCCTCTCTTTGGGCTCCGAGCCTCACCAGTGCTGTTGAAGTATTTAGAGAAACCCTCTCCTAATGTCCAGTAACACTATTTTCTACTCCACAATCTGGGAGGAAACACGCTCAGAGAGGCTGGCCAGCGTGCTTACCATCCGAGCACTACTCGTCAGCTCTGTTCCACCTAGACTGTTCGTCCGATGACCATGCTTCTCCACACAGGGACACAAACCCTCGCCTTGGAGATATCCTGCAGAAACTGGCTCCATTCCTGAAGATGTACGGAGAGTACGTCAAGAACTTTGACAGGGCAATGGGGCTGGTGAGCACATGGACCCAGCGCTCTCCGCAGTTTAAGGACGTCATCCACAGCATTCAGGTTGGGGCTGAAGGAGTATGATATACACACTTTTTTTTTTTAATTTCAAAAAGATTTTTTTAAGACAGGGTCTCAGGCCAGACACGTGCCTCTAATCTCAGCACTCAGGAGACAGAAGCAGGTGAATCTTTGTGAGTTTGCGGCCACCCTGGTTTACATAGCAAATTTTAGGCCAGATAGCACTACATGCTAAGACACCATATCCAAAACAAAAACAAACAACCAAAAACAACAACAAAAACAAACAAAAAAATTCTTCCACAACAAAACAAGGTCTCTCAACCTGACCAACTTAACTCCCTATGAAGCCAAGAATGACCTTGAACTTCAAACATTCTACCTTCACCTCCTGAGTGCTGGGATTGCAAATGTGTACCAACACTGGCTTCTGCAGTGCTGGGATCACAGGCCTGCATCAACATGCCTGGCTTTTCTACATGGGTTCTGGGGTTGAATTCAGGTCCTCATGCTTGAGCAGCTACAACATTCCCCCATCCCAGCCCTCTGAAGAAGCTGTGACACTACATTCTCACATAAGTGTGTGCTACAAGACTCATCATTGCTGTGAGCTCACATACATCTCCCTCCAGAGGGCGAGGCAGTGTTCAGCCTGAGCACAGGCCACTGTCCCTGTCCACACAGGGAAGACCAGGCTCTCGGGTCCACCAAGTCCTCAGGTGACCAGACACCTCCAGGATTGGGATGACAATTGTCTGCATTGACTGCCTCTGCACTCTGTTGTCCCTGAACTGTGGGGACTGTCTGGGGATACTTCCTGCTAGACACAACCATGGTTCTGCCCCTGGGCCTGGACTGTGTCTGCTGACACCGATGTGTCTTCTGGTATCTGGAGGGTAGAATCTGGGGCAGATCTACAATGCACAGAATAGCTCACAACCGCAAATTCTCCTATGCAAATGTCCATGGCCAAGGTCAAGAAGCCTTGACCTGAACAAAATGCGATCAAATAACCATCAGATTTCCCTTGGTCTCTGGAGAATTCTTTGCTTGATCCAAAGCATATTATAAATTATAAGCCTTAAAAAATTCCAAACATTTACCAAAAGTTTGTAAAATGACCAACTTAAGGCTAGAGAAAGCCGAGAACCTGTTTGGATCTCTAGCCACAGGTAAAGGCAGACATGGTGGCATGTGTCTGAACCTTTGTGCCAGGGGCTGAGGGTAGAGTCATGAGGCAGGTACATTCTGGGGCTGATCAGCAAGCCTCGAAGAAGCTCAGTTTTCAGCCAGAGATATGCACGCACACACCATACTCAGGCATGACCACAGAAGGGCAAACTTACAGACATTACAGACATTCTGTGCTATTTACCATTATCTCTAAGCACACATGATGGTTATTGTCTTTTGAAACTCATCTGCAGACAGTACTGAAGGTTCATCCCTAAGTGTGAAGGAGAGTGTCTCCCTCACACACAGTGATAACTGAAATCAAGGTCCTCACGTGGCTGTCACAGCACTGTGTCTCCTCACAGCCTGCACAGTCACCAGCCATCCCAAGGATGCACTTCTAAGTTTTCTCTGCTTTTTTTCTCTCTGTGGTTCACAAGCCAAAGAAGGACCACACACTGCTCCCATTATCAGACTGAGTCCTGCCCTCTAGGACAGGCTCTGTCCTTGTCCTCTTGAGGGAATTGGCTGTTTCTTGGCTTGGGTTTATCTGCGGTCTTTCCATGATTCAATTTGGGCTGTGCCTCTGTGTGAGAGTCACTGGAGCAAAGCTTTTTTTTTTTTTTTTCCTCTCTCTCTACTTGTAAGTTTCTAGCAGGGAAGTACTTTGAAGCCCTATGAATATCCATCCCTCATCTTCCCTTGCTTCTTGCTTGAAATAATTGTGTGTGTGTGTGGGGGTGTATGCCTGTGAACGTGTGTGGTGGTATGCTTGTACATGTATGTGCATGCGGAGGTCAGAGGTCAGCTGAGGTTGATTGTCTTCTATCACTTCCCACCTTATGTTTTGAGGCAGGGTCTCTCACTGAACCCAGAACTCATTAGCAGGCTGGCCAATGGTATCTGCTTATCTCTGCCTCCCCAGCACTGGGATCACAAGCAAGCACATGACACTCAGACTTTGTTTTAGATTTATTTAAAGTTTTATTTTATGTATGTGAGTGTTTTGCCTGCATGTATGTCTGTGAACCCTATGCATGTCTGGTTCTCAAGGAGGTCAGAAGAGGATGTCAGATACCCTGAAACTAGGGTTACAGACGGTCATTAGCCATGTAGTTGCTAGGACTGAACCCCGGTTTTCTGCAAGAGCAGGAAGTGCTCCTAACCTTTGAGCTATCTCTCCAGCACCAATACTCAGATTTTCTTTTCATAATTGCAACCTTCATTTAAAAAACAAAGACAGGCATATGGAGGCACACACCTTTAATCCCAGCACTCAGAGGCAGAGGTAAGTGGATCTCTGAGTTCAAGGCCAGGCCATTCAGCACTACACAGAGAACTCTTGTCTTGAAAAAGTTAACAACAACCAAAACCAAACCAAACCAACTGCGCCCTCCCACTCCAAAAAAAAAGCCTTAATTGTTTTAGGGGCTGAGAAGATGGCTTGGTGGATAAAGTGTTATGTTAAGCACAGGGACCTGAGTTCAGATCCCCAGAACCTGTTGCACCCAAAAGAGTTTTAAGCCCATCTCTACCAGAAGTTTTGTACTGAGGCCTGAGGAAGGTGTGGGTAGCTGGGGCCCTGAAGTTGCTAGAGGCAGGGCAGTGGGCAAGGGGAGAGACAACAGGCCCTCTCCACTGTGGATATGGTGGAGGCAGATGAACCAGGCAGCATGGCAGGAGAGCCCAGTGTGAGCGAAGAGGCCGTAGTGTGCTAGCAGTCTTCGTGGACAGGCCTGCCTGCAGGGTCAAGGGTGTGGACTCCTGCTGTCTGCACCAAGAAGGCATGAAAGTGTGTCAGAGGGGGAGCTGTGATCTGGAGGGAGGAGGGGAGGTGTGGAGAGTGGGGACAATACAGGGCTAGGCTTCCCTGCACCCACCTGCTCTCTCCTTCCTTTATTAAGCGGGGACTCTCATCAGCCTCAAGGCATGAGGACTGATACTGGGGGAGCTAGGCAAGATGACCTCCACCTGAGTGTGAGGAGGGTCGGCTAGGAGTGGGAATCACTTTTGTTGGGGGAGGCATTGTTCTGGCCCCTGTTTTCTTCAATCCAAAGCTGCCCACCCAGAAAGTTCCAGTTCTCCTTCCATCATGGGGCACCTTCCAGCCTCAGTTTCTCTAGCTATAAAGTGTGGTCTGTGCCAATTGTGTCTTGAAGAGCAGGCAGCTCCAGGGAACCTCCAGGGCCTGTGGTACCAGAAGCAGGGGCTAGACTGGTGACCCCGTGTGTGTTCTCTGTTCCCAGAAGCAGGAGGTGTGCGGGAACTTGACGCTGCAGCACCACATGCTGGAGCCTGTGCAGAGGGTCCCCCGCTATGAGCTGCTGCTCAAAGACTACCTGAAGAGGCTCCCCAGGGATGCCCCAGACCGGAAGGATGCTGAGAGTAAGTGGAGGTGGCTTCCAGGCTGAGGGGGAATCTCTGGAGTAGGCTGAGAACCCTGGGCTGAGACACACAGAGAAAGGCAGAGGAGAGAGAGTGGGGGGAAGGGAGGGATATATGTATAGCTAATCCTATCTATCTATCTATCTATCTATCTATCTATCTATCTATCTACCTATCTATCTATTTTATATATATATATGGAGAGAGAGAGAGAGAGAGAGAGAGAGAGAGAGAGAGAGAGAGAGAGGACTAGCAGCAAAGTGATTTAGTCTTTTCCTATCACATGGAAGGATGCTATCTCTGGAGAAGACATTGCCAAACACTGACTCCATTCAGAGCAACGGGTCCCATAGTGAGGGCATTCTAATTTCAAGAGTCATGACCAGTGCAACTGGTGGGCAGCACAGGACTGGGGACTGTGCAAGAGGGTCAAGGGTCCCACTTGTGTTGGCCCCAGCAGGCTCAGCAAGTGGCTCTGGGCTTTGTGTCTTCTGGGCCAGACCTCTGGAGCGGTCTGGGCACCCTGAGCAAGGCCAAGTGCAGGAACAAGGCCTCCCACTGGAAGCCATGCCTACATTTTCAGTGTCAGCCTCTCCAGCGAGAACTTGTGAAGTTACCACGTGCCCAGGCTCACGCGGTTCTCCTTATTCAGGGTCCCTGGAGCTCATCTCCACAGCTGCTGACCATTCCAATGCTGCCATTCGGAAGATGGTGAGTTCAGACCGCTGTAGGGACACAAAGCATATGCGGGGGGCGGGGGGGTGAACCATATAAGTAAGCACCTTTACCCCTGATTCCTGGTGGGCCCCATCAGTGAGCACATATATACCCAGTCTCCCCAGGATGTACCAGGTACACATCCTAGCACCCCCTAGTAATACCAAGTGCATGCTCAGCCTCTCTCTGTACAAACCAGGTAGGCATATGTCCACTGTCTTAGTTAGAGTTTCTATTGCTGCGAAGAGACACCATGACCACGGCAACTCGTATAAGGAAAACATTTAATTGGGGCTCGCTTACAATTTCAGAGGTTCAGTCCATTATCGTTATGGTGGGGAGCGTGGCGGTGTGCAGACAGACATGGTGGGGGCTACATCTTGATCAGAAGTCTCAGTGTCACACTGAACAAAGGTTGAGCAAAAGAGACCTCAATGCCCGCCCCCACAGTGACACACTTCCTCCAACAAGGCCACACCTACTCTAACAAAGCCACATCTCCTAATAGTGCCACTCCCTATGAGCTTATGGGGAGGTGGGGGAGGCAATTGCATTCAAGCTACCACACCCACCTTCCCAATGCAAGCCAAGACAGGCCATGACTTCACCTGACTCTTCCAAATACCTGCCAGCTCCTGCAAGGTCATAGGTTCTTCCCTGCCCTCCAGGGTCCCAGGCACCCTGTGCTGTTTGATCCACTACCATCTATAGTGTCCATACAAGGGACAGAAGGGCCAGCCTGACCTGCCACTTCTAGGTACACAGATAGGAATTACAAGTCCAAGGACAGGACATCTGAGGCCTAGCAGGTCCTGGCCCAGTCCTTGTTGGTATTGTCTAAGTCCCTACAGGATCAATTCTACTTTGAGTAGTATTGAATTCTAACCAAGAGCTAGAGCCATGAGCTGTTAACCTTGTCCCCACTGTACCTCTGTGCATTGTGACTTCCCAACCAGGCCTGAGGAATGTGATGTGTAGATTGGCCCAGTCTAGGTCATAGCCACTCAACTGACTCCTGCATTCCTCAATGTCCTTGTCTGAAAACTGGGGATAACGATGCCACTCAGCTCATAGAGTCTGAGTCAGAATTAAATGATTAAAATGTGGATGGTGTAGAACAGTCCCTGGTACATAGCAACAGAGGTTTGTGATCTATCATTCTCTGGACGATGAGTTTCTAGTCACCCTTTAATATTCAGTTCAAATGTCATCCTGTGTTCCCTTCCCTTTTCACTGGCAGCCATTTCATTGCTGCAACGGACTCTGGGTGGCAGTTGCAGAGCATGGCTTTGCTCACCTCTGGGTCCAAAGCAGTTCCCTAGACCTTTGTCCTTGCAGCTGCCTGAGCGGAATTCCTGTCTCTTGCAGGAGAAAATGCATAAGCTCCTGGAGGTGTATGAGCAGCTGGGTGGGGAAGAGGACATCGTCAACCCAGCCAATGAGCTGATCAAGGAGGGCAACATCCAGAAATTGTCAGCCAAGAATGGCACCACTCAGGACCGACACCTCTTCTTGGTGAGTCAGGCTGAATCCCAGTTACAGAACTCCCACATCTGCCTTCTCAGGCTCTGGGCAGTACTAGCAAAACTTAGAAGCCCAAGGAGGAGGTTCTTCTGTGGCCTCCTCTGATAGTTTGCTGGGCTATCTCTTGTCAATGGCTCTGCCCTGGTTTCCACAAGTATCTAATATTAATGTCCCTTATATCCAGCATTTCTGTTTTCTTTGATCTATCTCAGTTACAATTAGAGAGTCTCCAGAAACCAGAAATGTAAAGACTTGTAGCCAAACATCAAGATCCCAACTGTCCCAGAACCAAACTCTGGTTTACAGAGAGGAGAAGACAGGAAGGAGTTATGGTGAGGGATCCACTCAAGCACCTGACATATAGGAAGAGACACAATCTTTTTTTCCTTTTTCTATAGCTGCTTCTCTTCTCCCCTACTGCCTCTTCCTCTTCTCCTTCCTCCTCCTCTTCCTCTTTCTTCTTGCCTCTTCCTAAGGCCTTACATTTGCTAGGCAAGCACCCTATCACACTGCCTTTCTCCTGTAGCCCTGCATCTATTCTTAAATTGGTAGCTGTGTCTTTGAAAGTTTCTTTTTTTTTTTTTTTTTTTTTGGTTTTTCGAGACAGGGTTTCTCTGTGTAGCTTTGCGCCTTTCCTGGAACTCACTTGGTAGCCCAGGCTGGCCTCGAACTCACAGAGATCCGCCTGGCTCTGCCTCCCGAGTGCTGGGATTAAAGGCGTGCGCCACCACCGCCCGGCTTCTTTTTTTTTTTAACCTAAGGCCTGTGACATATCTAGCCACAGGTTATTGGCTAATAACACAAGGTATGGGTTTCATTAAGGAGTGGGCCTTAAATCCAATCGGAAAGTGATTGGTTACTTCCACGAATTCATGCCACTATTGTACCAGTGGGCATGTCTTGCCAGGCCAGTTGTTATTGTGGCTCCAGGGTTCTCAGCTGGGTATGGTTGATGCCTATGGCTCTCCTCTGGCATAGCATTTTCAGCACTGTAGAAGCTATCCAGTAGGAATGAAGCTTCCAGGCCAATCCTGACTTGATTGCTCCATGTTCTGTGACTCAAGCAAGTGGTGTTTTCAGCAGTAGAGTTTTCATCAAGTTCTTGAGGGGAACCAAGAGCATCGGCAGGAGCCTGTACTGTGTGGGGGTTTATGGGACCTCACTGGCCAACAACTCCAAAAGAAGTAACCCTTTCCTGAAACTGGGCTTTTTGTTTGTTAGTCTCTGGTATTTAGTGAGGCCATTGCTGTCCATTATAGGCTCAGAATCTGCCTTTTGAATGTTGTGTTTAATGTTAGGGTCCTGGAGAAGTCCCATAAAAGACCACCATCCATGTATGCAATCAACAAGAGCATTTATTACCAGCATGCTGGGGCTGTCCATCCCACACAGAGGCAAGAGAGCGATGACCCCAAGAGGAGCTCTCAGGCTCCTTCTAAGCATCGCTAAGGCAATTAGATCATTTTATCTATATCTGGCTTAAGCAAGTAGCAGTCATATTAGTACGTTCTAATGGCTGGGGCTAGTCAGGGGCTGATTAGGGCTACAGTTTTTCTATTTTGGGGCAGGCCTGGACAAGTCCCAGGCTTTGTCCTTATTTGGTTATCATCTTGAGCTGTTGTGGCTCAGGCTGGCTGACCTAGTATGCGCTGACTGTGGGGACTGGCTCAGGCCTGGTACTGCACGTAGCAGGCCTCCTCATCTTTGCTGTCAGGGGTGTTGGAAATTGATTGTCCTTTGTTCATGGCTCTTCCTCAGAAACTGCTTGCTCAGTCTCAGGAAACTGAAATTGAGGCCTGATCTCTAAGAGAAGACTGAGCAGCCTGTTACGGTGTTTACTTGGTCCTCTTACTTAGAGGCATGTGTGCATCTTTAAATAAATAAATATATACTTACATATTATATACTTTATAATATTATATATTACTATTTATTTATTAATATTCTATATTACTTTAAGACATTAAAGATCACTTATATGGGTCCCTGTGAGGGGCTCCCTGTAACTACCTCTCCCCATAACATCTTTCTTGCAGTTCAACAATGTGATGCTCTACTGTGTACCCAAACTAAGGCTGATGGGCCAGAAGTTCAGTGTACGGGAGAAAATGGACATCTCTGATCTCCAGGTGGGTGGGTCCCTCCTTCCCGTCTTATGCCCTGGAAGGGGTACAATGGGGATGGGGATGCTAGGCTTTGATGGTCACTTCTGTGACTCAAGGTTTCTGAGATAGCATCTTGGTCCTGGATTCTACTTCCTGTCAGGTCCCTGATGGTCTCATGCTAAAGGGGGCAGGAAACTGGAACTAAAGTTCACAGCCATGGGGGTCACATAGACACAAGATAGGCTGTCACTTTGTGAGGACAGGACTCAGGACCCCAATTACAGATCCAGGAGTGAAACTCAGGTCACGAATTCAGAATGGGGTGTGGGCCTACTTGCCTGGTCTGTACCCCAGGCCACAAGTTGTCTCATTCCCTGAACTATCTCAAAGTCTTTCTGTCTTTTCTTGCCTTGACCCAAAAGTCATGACATTCAGGGCTGATATGAATTCTATCTGCCACTGAGAGAGATTTGAATTAATAATTGCTCCAAAAATGTTTTCTAATTAAATGAATCTAACTATCTGAAAAAGCAAAGATTTGATTAAACAGCTACCCACTCCATAGAAATTCCCTTGGAATTCTCTGAATCCGTGTTAAGAAATAATTACAAGCCGTGATTAGCTACAGAAAAACAAAAACAAAAACAAAAACAAAAAAACAAAAACAAACCTTGCTTCTTCCATAGTTAGAAGAAACCACTTTTGCCGTGTTGCTCCATGAGAAATCGGTCCTGGGGCTGGAGAGATGACTCAGTAGTCAAGTGCTCTGTGTTCTTTCAAAAGACCCAACATCAGTTCCCAGCACCCAAATGGAGTGGCTCACAGCTGCCTGTAACTCTAGCTCCAGGAGATCCAGTTTCTCCCTCTGTCCTCCTCGGGCACCTGTGCTTGGGTACATAACGGCACACAGACACACACATAAATAAGTCTTTAAAAACCAGTCCTGTTTTAGTGGCTTTTAATATGTTAATATCATTTTCAACATGTAGTGGGAAAGTCCAGAGGTTTCTGGCTGGGTCTAGGTCTGCATATCTGTGGTGCCTCCAACTGGCTGACTGAGGTCAGGGGCTCTTACAGAGACCAGCCCAAGAGCTGCCAGGAGCAACTGTGCTTCTGTGGTTTTCTGCTGATGGAAGAGGGTGAAATCTGAGACCTCCAAGGAAATGACGCTACTCCATCCACTCTGTCTGGGTACAGTCCTTTAAACTCACAAGGCACCTGCCCATGCGGGCCAAGCACCTTCTAAGGGACAGAGGCAAGGATCTTCTAAGGTTTGCATTCCTTCCAAGGGGGTGCAGCTGTGCTGGGGGGTAAAGCCTCACGTGCTGGAAGGGAAAGGCTTGGCCAGGGCTGCCTGGGGACAAACAACTGCTAAAGGAGGCCTGATGGACAGGTGTATTTCCCAAGCAGCTGTCTAAACACAGAGACTGAGGCCCAGCTCTGTGTGGGCAAGACCAATAGTCTGCCCTCCCCCTGAGCTTCAACATCCCCATTTTGTAGATCTGAGAGCACATGGGGTCACCCTGACACTTTCACAGGAAAAATAAATAAAATAAAAACCTCTGAATCAGAGAACACGGGTCTGTGTTAAGGAACAGCTAAAATGACAACTTGCATTTATTTGCCCTGTTTTGTGTTTTTGTTCATGCAGGTGCAAGATACTGTGAAACCAAATGCAGCACGCACATTCATCATAACAGGAAGAAAAAGGTCCCTGGAGCTTCAGACTCGGTATGGCACTAGCATCTGCGGCTATACGAACATCTTTGACCTGAGATTGTAGCAGATGGCTTCTTTTACCGAATGAGATAATCTTTCAATATGTTTTTTTATTATTTTTTATTTTTTGGTTTTTTCAAGACAGGGTTTCTCTGTGTAGCTTTGCGCCTTTCCTGGTACTCGCTTTGGAGACCAGGCTGGCCTCAAACTCACAGAGATCCACCTGCCTCTGCCTCCCGAGTGCTGGGATTAAAGGCGTGCGCCACCACCGCCCGGCCTCAATATGTTTTTATTGGCTTACAGTGTGTGTGTGTGTGTGTGTGTGTGTGTGTGTGTGTGTGTGTGTGTGTATTTTTAAAATAAAGAGGCAGAGACAGGCAGATCCTCAAGGCTTGCTCTCTAGCCCACCCTAGTGGAATTAATGAGCTCCAAGTTCAGTAAGAAGTCCTGCATCAAAAAGTAAGGTGGAAGCCAAGTGGTGGTGGTGCACACCTTTAATCCCAGCACTCGGGAGGCAGATCTGATCTCTGTGAGTTTGAGGCCAGCCTGGTCTATAGAGCAAGTTTCAGGAGAGGCTCCAAAGCTATACAGAGAAACCCTGTCTTGAAAAAAAGGAAGGTGGATAGTGATTGAGGAAGACACACAATACCAACCTCTCTCCTCTACACACATGCACATATGAACACGTGTATACACACACATACACACACACACACACACACACACACTCAAAGGTGGATATAACAAATAGCAAGTGTCTTGGTTAGGGTTTCTTTCTTTTTTTGTGTTTTTAAGATTTATTTATTTTTATATTGTGTGCATTGGTGTTTTGCCTGCATGCATGTCTGTGTGAGGGTGCCAAATCCCTTGGAACTGGAGTTACGGACAGTTGTGAGCTGCCATGTGGGTGCTGGGAATTGAACCCAGGTCCTCTGGAAGAGCAGCCAGTGCTCTTAACTGCTGAGCATCATCTCTCCAGTCCCTTGGTCAGGGTTTCTATTGCTGTGATAAAACACTATGACTAAAATCAGCTTACTGAGAAAAGGGTTTATTTCACTTACACTCCCCAGTCTGTCCACCACTGAAGGAAGTCAGGGCAGGAACTGAAACAGAGGAACCTGCTTACCAGCTTGCTCCCCATGGCTTGCTCAGCTTGCTTTCTTATATGACCCAGGGCTGCCTGCTGAGGGGTGATACCACCCACAGTATGCTGGACCCTCCCACATCAGTCAAGAAAATGCCTCCAAGGACTTGCCTACAGGACATGTGATGGTGGCATTCCCTCAACTGCTGTTCCGCTCCCTAGATAACTCCGACTTGTGTCAGTCTGACAAAACACCCACCAGGACACCAGTCCTCCATCTTGCTTTTTTCAGTTAATGTGGCAGGATTCATCCGATAATCTCACACATTTTCCAGGAATAGCACAATCCCCATCAACATTCTTTTTTTTTTTTGGTTTTTTGAGACAGGGTTTCTCTGTGTAGCTTTGCGCCTTTCCTGGAACTCGCTTTGGAGACCAGGCTGGCCTTGAACTCACAGAGATCCGCCTGGCTCTGCCTCCCGAGTGCTGGGATTAAAGGCGTGCGCCACCACCGCCCGGCCCCATCAACATTCTTAACTGGCACCAGTGAGATGACTTAGTGGGTAAAAGCCCCACGGCCAAGCCTGATGACTTGAGTGCCATCCTTCCTGGTGGGGCCTGCATGGTAGAAAGAAAAAGCCAACTCCTGCAAGTAGTCCTCTAAACCTCCATAGGTAGCACTAACACCCACACATAGACACAAAAAAATCTAAATAAACTGTAATGATTTTTAAAAAAAAAATCATCAGCAGGGTCCCATGTTGACAGTCTGAGTGTCATTTTGGCAAACTGTGCTGAGAACAGAGTCCCCATACTTGGGCTTTTGTGCACACACGTTGCTGCCTCTGTGAGATGGACCTCTGAGGGGAAACTACTGGTCAGCATGTGGGATGTCTGCTCTGTCTGGTCACACTGCCCTCCAAGGCCAAGCTTGAGCTCCCACTAGAAACCCAGTCTGTCACACTCCACCTGTGGCATAAGAGCTTTGTAATCACCTGCCAGGGTCCAGGGAGCTGTTGGTCTGCAAGATGAGCCTGGCCCCACCGGGCCACATATGTTCTGAACACTGAAACTACCTTTCCAGCCTTGAGTTGCAGTTACAAGTGAGTGCCTAGGTAGGCACACGGTGGGTACCCGTGGATGGACTGATAAAATGCTGATTTTGTCTTCGTAGGACAGAAGAAGAGAAGAGGGAATGGATTCAGGTGAAGCCGCTCAAGTTTGTTCTATCTCTGCCTTTCCCCCCTGTCCGAGAGCCTGGGGCCTGCTCAGCAAATGCCCTTGTGTTTTGGGGATACGTTTCGTTAGGGAACAACTCTGGTCTCAAACCCTCAACCCTCCTGAGGATTTCAGACATGCATCACCATGTACGGCTTATACCTCATGTTATTGTAATGTGGTCGTTTCATGTTGGACCACATGACCCAGGAACTCTTTCCTAATACTGCCTGTCCTCATGTCTGAAGGGAGGCAGTGGCCATGGGGCGCCTCTGTATATGCTTTCAGATACCACAAGCCTTTCAGTCTATTCCTTCAGTCTATTTATTTCAGCCCCTTCTCCACAAGTAAGGAACCAGAAAGGGCCAGGAGGGACCTCGGGCTAGGTCTTGTCTTTCCAGAGCCAGTCTCTTTGGTCTTACTGGCTCCAAGGCATGAGTCATCGGCCAGGATGAGATGATCAGGGGTGCTCTGTGGACACCTGGACCCTGAGCCCTCAGCGTCCTTCCCTGGCCCTCTGACGGCCCTTTGGCTTTGCTGTGTGTCCAGGTTATTCAGGCCACTGTGGAGAAGCACAAACAGAAGAGTGAGACCTTCAGGGCCTTCAGCGGTGCCTGTAGCCTGGATGAGGAGCCCGGCCTGTCCCCAGACCAGCCTGTGAGTCAGCAGCCTGTTGTCAGGGGGAAGTGGGACTCAGCTCTTGGCCAGGGAGTGAGGCCTCGGGGTATTATGCAGACAGCATGAACACGCATTTCCCTGCTTGCCTGGGTCCTCATTAAGGACAGTTGCAGCCTGTTGGACCTGCTGCTGCCTTGCAGGTTAGGGTCCATGTGGAGGAAGTGCCCCTCCAGTGCTAGGTGGACATCTCCATGCCTTCAGCAAGGCAGCTATGAGCATCAAGGGACCTTATCTTCCTCCCGTGGAATTGAGTCTCAGAAGTTCAGTGACACTCCCAGGCCACTGCAGTGGTACAAACATCCTCAGGTTATGGTGCCCTTCTTACACACTCCACTTGGAACAGCTAGTGGCTGTCTTTTTGTGCTTATGTCTTCTCCCCAAATTCCCCTGGGCCCCTGAGGTGTCTGCTCAAAGCCCTCTGCCAGCAGAACCAGGGGTATATGATTCCCCATCCCCTCGGAGTGCCCACAGAGGTACACTAAGAGGGCATGACAGAGCAGGGAGTAGGGATGGACATCCCTCATGTCGGGGTTTCCCCAGAATTAGAGAGAGCAGACCCGATGTGGAAGATGATTTCTGCCCTGTGGGAGGACAGCCCTAGAGGCTGCACCAGAGGTTGCAGCAAAACCTCCTGGGAGAGGCTCCCCCCGCCCAACAAGGATGCTCACCCCCTCCTGCGCTCCCTCCCTCCACCTTCATGGGCTGCTTTGCTCATACTCACCTGGAGGGAACAGCTGGCCCATCCTAACTCCTCAGTCTACCCACCTCCAACTGGCTGGCCTCCTGTCCTCGGGGTCTGCCTGTTCCTTATTTATTTGCATCAAATCTGCTCCCATTTTTCCTGGATATCTTTTTGAGGACAAGTTAGCACTCTTGGAAGGAAGGAGCCTGTCAGCTGTTTGAGGGCAATGACTTAGAGACAAAGGGTACAGAGCCGGCTGGTGTTAGTCAGCAGAGCCTGGAGCATTAGAAAGTCTGCAGACTCTCTTCACACACCACAAGGATGAGGAGAGCATCCTCAGGGACCACCTCATCCCTTCCACACCGTGTGATTTTTTGGTATCAGGATCAGAGTGGGCCAAGTCAGCCTCACCCGCTGACACCAGGTGCCTTCGGTTCAGGGAAGGTGTGGCTTCTGGAGTCCCAGCATTTAGTAGACCAGTTCTCTCATTTACACCACCCCTCGATGCGTAGGGGTGTTAGGTGGAGGAAATGTCTTCTGCTACACGGGCCACGCCATGTGACTGGGAAACCGCTTCACACTGATCTCTGTTCTCTTCCAGATCATGAGTGCCAGCTCTGTGGAAACTGCAGGGGTAGCCGACAGCAATGGGGGGACTGCAGGGGTGAGTGACTGACACCCAGGGAGTAGCAGGAGTGGGAGGTGGGGGAGGGGTCAGACCAAGGCTCCTGGAGGGTGGGGATCTAAGAGTCAGTTTGCCCTCTCCTGTGTTCTCAGGGCCTGGGTGTGCAGATGTGAGGCTGTGCCTGGGGCAAGGTACTGGTGACCTAAGTACCAGAGGTGGAGGCTATGGAGAGTCTGTTGGTGGACATTACACAGCTATGTGTACCATTTGATCTCTGTATGAATACTTACGAGCTTGCTGTGTGTAAATTTCACCTTGACAATATGTATAGTAAAGAAGAGCCAGCTCCCTATGTCAGTGATGTGAAGACAGGTTTGTCCCTCATACCAAGCAGGTTTTCTGGAAGCTGTGAACTCCCCATCTCTCCCCCTATGTGTCTCAGGGACAGGTGGCTAGGCTCCTGTGCCTATCTGCTAGGGACGGACCGTGGAAACTTGGAGGGGGCAGTCTTTATTTTAATTTGGGGATGTGTGATAGGCTGAGGTGCACACACACGTTTGCTGTGGATCGAGTACCAACATCTGAGCCACATCATCACTTTGGGGCTTGACAGTCACACACAGCCGGGACAACAGTAGTTGGGACAACTCTGGGCCATAGCTTCACTTGTAGCCTGGGGTGATGATTCTGCCTGGCATCTTGGCTGAGTCCTGATGGACTACTGCATTAGGGGAGTGACTGGTAAGGTGTCTCCAGCCCATGCCAGACATGGGCTCTTCCCTGGGCCCCTTGACACTACCACGGGGCACAGGCCCTTGTTCTCTCCTGCACGCCTACCTCCCCCTCCAGTGTGCCTGCTCTTTACCTCCCCCTCTTTCTCTGTCTCTCATTCTGACTCTCCATTTCTTTCACACTGTCTCTGTCTCTCAGTTGCTCATGCATAGCCCGGATCTCCTTGCATAGGAGACAGGAAAGAGCTACCTGGCTGGGGCTCAGAACAGCTAGTGACTCGGCCCTGGAGCTCTGAAAATATGGCCTTGTTAGGTTGTGACTGCTGGGTTTTTGTCCCCATAAAGAGGAGGACATAAGCTCAGGTCAGTCAGATGAGCTGCCTTGAAGCAGGTGAGGGACAGGTGTGGAAGGAGCCGCCTGGGATAGAGAACAGAGGAGGGCTGGTGTGACAGAGTCCAGTGCACAGACAGTATGGAGCCATGGCCTGTCAGGGTGGGTCTGAATATTGCTGCTCCCCTTCCTTGTGACCACAGCTTCCTCAAGGCCCACAGATGTGAGCTCATGCTGGCGTTTGTCAGGCAACCTGAGGACGCTTGTGAGGCTTGAGGGAGGGCTGAAACATCTCAGAGGTATGATGAGGAAAGAACATGGTAGACCCTGAAGTAAAAAGGAACCAGACAAGAGGAAAGCCCCTTGTTGAAATGCTGTTGCTGTCTGGCCTCCCAGAGCAGACAGGCACCCCAAGGTTGAGCTCTGTTGAAACTGGAAGTCAGGAAATCTGAATGTGTTGCATGCAGCCAAGGGGGAAACAAACATTTAGACACCCCAGTGGCTTCCTGCACTATCTGCGTGTTCCTGCTTCCTGCAACTCACTGGCCATGTTCTCACCTCCCCTGGCTCCACCAAGTCTTCGGGCCTTTGTACCCACTATTAGCTCTGCCTACCTCCAGGAAGCCCCATGGCTTGTCCCAGGGTTCCTGATAAATACTTCTCATTCTCATACCACCTAACCTAGTATCAACCTTCTGAGTAGCTAGTGTGTGTGCGCACGCGCGTGTGCACGCTCGAGTGTGAGGTTGGCCTTACCCAGAACCATGCAATCCTGTTAGTACCACAGTTGAGCTTCCAGAGGGATGCATAGTCACCTGGTCAAGTCAGGCTCAGCAGCTCGTGAACTCATAGTCTGAAATGCTCCCAAGTCAGCCCCACATCTTTTGGCCAGGATAGCTATCCATGACCATTTCTCTGATGAGGCCTTGGACTCATCTGTTCCCACACTGTCCAGTCTTCAGCCCTGGGGTGGGCTTGTGGAAGTATTTCTGGTGACCAGCTGATGTCTCAGGCATCCAGGCCCAGGGGATCACCAGTTGTTTGTCCATGCAATCTTTAGGGCTAAGCCCACAGGCCCTGGAAAGGGAACCATTAGCCTCCAGGAGCTGCAGGCAGGCAGAGGTTCAGGGTGGGGACAGGGACTGTTTATAGGAACAGTGGTGCCGGGGATGCCCCTGAGATCATTAGTGGTGGTGCTTGCAAGTGAGATGTCCCACAGCTGGGGCTAAGTGGGGGGTCAGTGTCAAGATTAGGAGGATGCAGCTGGAAGGAAGTAGAGTTGGCTCTGGATTGAAACCGTGGGTAAGTGTTGCCTACTCCAGCCTTACTGCCTTCTGAGAAAGAGAGCTCTAGGGTACCTAATACAGGCTGTTCTTGCTAGCTGCCCATATCCTTTGGTTGGGAAGGGACAGCTGGGAGCCCCAGAGTCAAGGCCTTAAGCCATACCCAGGACCTGCCTGGATCAGGACATGGTCACCACACCTGCTGGCACCACAGCCATACTTGATACCTCGTCTGTCCCACTTGCTTTGTCTGCTTCTGCCCCGGGACAGAGCCTTTCAATGGTTCACAACATTCACCCCACAGCAGCCCAACATCCAATTCTGATGTCCTTGTCCCTTCTCCTCACTGAACCAAGCGGAGGCCAGCCCTTCCTCCAACAAACAGGTCCACAACAGCAGATACTCCAGTGGAGTATGGCCATAAGCTTCCCCCTCGACTCCTCCCCTGAGCAGAGCTGAGCTGAGCAGAGCTGAGCTGAGATTTTGGTGAGCTCAGGATGGTTCAGAGACATCTGTGGACCTGCACTGAACAACATGATAGGGTATACCACAGAGGAAACCTACAAGATACTCAAAAGCAAGGCTTCATTTTCAATCAGAAGGGTTTTGGCTATGGGTGCCAGATTTATGCCGCTTCTTGGCATGTTTGGAGAGGAAAAGAAATCCCTTCAATGTACTGGGCTTGTGTCCTGTGCCTAGGTGTCTTCTGACGTACATCCTCTGTCAGCCCCTCTTTCCTAAGAGAAGCCAAACACCATCCGGGAAGTTTTGCAAGCACCCTTGCAGAATTCAAAGGATTCCTCATTCTGTTAAGAGTAAAAGTCCAGTTGCTCTTCACAGAAACACACACACACACACACACACACACACACACACACACACACATCACAATCTAAAAGTCTTCCCCCGCCCCCAGAGCTCCAGACCTACTCTGAGCAACATAGACCTATTCAAGATGTCATCGAAGCTGTCCCTGATCACCCACAAAGCAATGGTGTCTCTGTGATACTGGAACTGCCTTTTCTCCATAAGTCCCTATTCTGTATCTGCCATTGGACTCCAGAACAGAATTGCCATTAGAGGAGCAGAGGGGCCAGGCTTGACTTCAGCTGAGCCTGGCCACCTCCTCTTGGAATGACTTCCAACAGGACCTGAGGTCCTTAGCCTGTGTCCGAATGGACTGCTGGGTCATCGTATGACTTGATATAGGCTGCTGACTAGGGCTCACATCTGTCTTACTGGGAGGTCCCTTTAGCTACCAAGCTAACCTTCCAAAGCAGGGACACTGAGGAAATTACTCTGTTGACCCTCAGTGGAGAACAGTTTCTGGGTTGATGTTGGAGATGCTTTTGGCTGGAGCTGTTTGCCAGTTACTTCCTGGCAGTCTTGAACTTAGACTTCCTGTCATGCACCACTTGGACAGGAAATCTGGTCCGGGTCCTTTGATCAGCCCTGCCTGATGATCTCATCCATGAAGGAAGTATACTTGGTTAGGAGACCTGTCTTTGGCTATATACATAGGTGTCATCATGCCTTGGCTACCTGATCTCCTGTGGTCAGCAATCCAACCAGGCCTCTTATGTTGTGGATGGCATGGTTGGAGATCAAGTCCCATGACGGGTGGGCCACAGTGGACCTCAGCATCATGGGATCCATGTGGGGCTAAAGCTCCTGTCTGAGCACACAGATTGGTAGCCCTGTCTTGGTCAGGTGATGCCTACTAGATGAAAGGAGCTGAGGGACAGCCGGGCAGTGGTGCATGCCTTTAATCCCAGCCCTCGGGAGGCAGAGCCAGGCAGATCTCTGTGAGTTCGAGGCCAGCCTAGTCTACAGAGCAAGATCCAGGACAGGCACCAAAGCTACACAGAGAAACCCTGTCTCAAAAGAAGAAGAAGAAGAAGAAGAAGAAGAAGAAGAAGAAGAAGAAGAAGAAGAAGAAGAAGAAGAAGAAGAAGAAGAAGAAGAAGAAGAAGAAGAAGAAGCAGCAGCTGAGGGACTTCTGTCATCTAATCTACTAAGTCCTGACATCTTAAGCTCTTTGCCTCAGGAGCTTCCCTTTGTCTGAACCCCATTGGTCCCAGAGCCTGAGCTCTTGGTCAGACCCCAGCTCACCTCAGCCTTTCCTCCATCCCCAAGTGCCCCCACTAGCATACCCTGGTGACCCCCGAGCCTCCGGCATTCTCAACTACCTTGTAGAACTGACTGTTGAGGGTTCTGCCTGAGGTCCCCAAGAGCCACCACATGTCAGGGCTATTTGGTCACCAATTAATGGCAGTACCTTGACATTTAGATTCCTCACAGGAAACAGGAACATGGACATTCTGAATGTGTAGAAGGTGGTGGCTGCAGGGCTACAGCAGGCCTGATCCTTCTGCTCCTCAGTCCTCTTTTGGCTGTTTCTTCCCTGCCTTAGGCCCCCCTACCCTCCCTGACTCAATGAACACCTGGACCCTCCAGTACTCCTGAGAGGAGGCCACAATGGGAAAGTCTTATATAGGGCTGGGGGGTCCTGAGGCTAGGTGAGGGGTACAGTTCCAGATGCAGGAAGACTCTTGAGAGTGAGGGTTTTGCATATCAGGTCTGGAATGCCTGCCCTCCACCGACTGGGCACCAAGCCTTGACAGTAGACCTGAGAACAAGATACATTGTAGAGGGAGGAGGTCAAGACCATCTTCCACCTTTGTCCTTGGGGCAAGGACTCACAAAATGGCAGGAGGCCGTGCTGCAGGAGACACAGCAAGAGGTCAAGTCTGAACACAGCCTCAGCTGGCTTGTTTTCCTCACATGACCTGTTTCTGCAGGATTGGCACACAGGCACGTGGGTGCACATGTATGCTTATGCATATGGTGTGCCTGTCACCAAGTGCTCAACACAGACTGGGCGTGTGACAGGGTGAAGAATAACCGTCGGGATCTAGGGGTCACACGATCCCTCTGGGATGCAGTCTAGGACACCCCAGGCTCTGGCAGCAGGTGCCATCTGTGTAGACTCCTGTCCACACCACTTTCCTCCACTTTGACTCACAATATTTTCTCAGACACCAGATAAAGCCACTGGCCAAGCTGTCTTGACCTCTTGGAACCTTACTTCAGGCAGTGTGTGCTGTGATGCATGATACACTGGGGTGGTCCCTGGGAGAAGGGCTGCTTTAGCTCTGCCTGTCCCCGTCTACAGTGTCCACTTTTGCTCTGGACATGGCCACTCATAGAATCCTTAGCTACCCCCCCCATACACACACACACACACACACACACACACACACACACACACACACGCCCACCCACAGTGGGTCATCTTGTGCTCACACTCTGAAGCTGATAATGGCCACCTGCCTCCTTGTAGATCGAGTCCAGAAAGTTGTCCTCTAAAACAAGACGTGACAAAGAGAAGCCTGGGTGTAAGAGCTGTGGTGAGACCTTCAACTCCATCACCAAGAGGAGGTATCGCTGCAAGCTGTGTGGCGAGGTGAGCGTGGGGCCAAGGGGAGTGGATTGGACAGGGACCAGGTGGATCTCACTGAATCTTCACAGGTTCTAATGGGTGGGCAGCAGCTGCTACTAGCATGTACTATTAGCATGTACTACTAGCATGTACTACTAGTATGTACTACTAGCATGTACTACTAGTATGTACTACTAGCATGTACTACTAGCATGTACTACTAGCATGTACTACTAGCATGTACTACTAGCATGGGTGGTATGTACTTCTTGAGAGTCATCATGTGCACAGCTGGTGGGCTCTGTGAGCCGCATGGCAGCCCCCCCCCCCCCCCCCGGCAAGGCTGCCTCCTCCAGACCCTGTATAACTTTTCTCATTGCTGTAACATGTGATACGTGGCAGAAACCAACTCAATAGAAGAAGGCTTTATTTTAGATCACAGTTGGAGGGCACACAATCCATGGTTTCAGGGAAGGCATGGCAATCAGGGGTATGAAGTACCTGGTCATGTTCTATCTGCAGTCAGGAAGCAGGAAGTGGACAGGAAGTGGTGTTGGGCTATCAAACATTAGGCCCTATCCTTCCCCTAGTGACTTACTTCCTCTAACAATGTTTTCTACACTTGTCCAAAACAGCACCAGACATCGAGTATTCTCACATAGGAGCCTGTAGGAGACATTTCACATTTAACCCAGAACATTGTACCCTACTATAGATGTTCTTGAGTGTGAACCTCTAAAGTAAAAGCTAATTTCTGGGTGGCTCTGATGTCTCACAACATTCCTTCCAACTGTAAAACTGCTAGCCTTGGAGCCTCAGTGCCCAAGCTGGGAGTGAGTAAGATGTAGTGTTTCTGTCCTGTGATAGAGAGGTGATGATAGCGTCCTTATGGAAGATGTTGAGGAGGCAGGAGAAGGTGGAGGGCTTGGCCATGATGGGAGTGCTCCAATGGTGAGGAAGGTCTGATGGGGTCATGCAATTAGGGGCCACCACTGACTGGTGTCCCCCAGATATACCAGCTCTAATCCTATCACTCAACTCCAAGGCCCATGCTCCTGAGAATGAGCAACTGAGCCGTTAATTAATACTGAACTTCAAAGTATCCTTGAAGAAGGAACTGATGGTTTAAGTATTTTTAGACTTAGATATAGTCTAAAGTTGCATGTGGGGGAGGAGTTGAAGTGGGAGGAGAGAGAGAGAAAGAGAGAGACAGAGACAGAGACAGAGAGACAGAGAGACTTACTTGAAGTTGTTTATTCAGAGGATGTGAAAACTGGTGTTCTCTGATTTCACTTTTCATAAAATCTTACCATGTTGGCTGGGGTGGGGAAAGGGAGGAATAAAAGAATGAATCTTTGGATGACTGATAGGTAGGTAGATAGATAGATAGATAGATAGATAGATAGATAGATAGATGGATAATACGTGGGTGGGTGGGTAGATGGATGAATGAGCAGGTGATGGGTATACAGTAGATGGTGGATAAATACCTAGATAATGGATGGGTAGATAGGATGGTAGCTGGATGGTCAATGGATGGATGATGAATGCATGTTAGAAGGGTAGGTGGATAGATGGATGGGTGGTTGGATGAGTGGATGGGTGAGTTGATAGATGAATGGTAGATGGGTGGGTTGATAAGTGGATGGTGAAAGCATGGTAGGTGGAGAGGAGGTCGGATGGGTGAGTGGATGAGTACAAGAGGAATTTGGAGAGCACAAGATAGCCTACAGGCCAGTGCTCCAGTCCAAATGCATGGGTTTAAAGCTGTCATCAAGACAAGAAGGAGCATGGTGTTCCTGGCAGTTTTGCAGTGGGTTGCAGTGATTGCATCTGAGGTAGGAGCACCTGGGAGACAATTGGAGTCTGTGGTCTCTATTAAAAGAGGAATGGGTGGGGCGGTGGTGGAGTACACCTTTAATCCCAGCACTCGGGAGGCAGAGGCAGGCGGATCTTTGTGAGTTGGAGGCCAGCCTGGTCTACAGAGTAAATTCCAGGACAGCCAGGGTTATACAAAGAAACCCTGTCTCAAAACAAAAAACAAACAAACAAAAAGAATGGAAGAGTTGTGAGGGATGCTTTACCCAGAACCTGGGCTGCAGTTGAAGTGAAATATCCCAGGCTGGCTGGCTAATGTGGAGTGTGGGGAGGGCCAGTATATTCCAGGGTACTACCTGCATGGGATTGTCCAGTTAAAAAATGGAGGCAGGAGGTACCAGAGGCCATTCAGAGAGGGGTGAGCATCCAGGAAAATGCCCATGTTTCAAAGACTTTCATATGTTCAGACCAAATAATCCTTGCATTTGGCCACAAGAAAGCCAAGGTTGATGTGACCCAGGCAGTGTCAGCCAAAGGCATAAAAATAACTAGGACAAAGGAAAGAACGGAGTGCTGAAAGGAGGCATGGTGGTCCTAAGGCAGAAGAAACTCATGCTTGGAGAAAGATTCAGCAGAGGAAGGGAGACCAAGGAGAAGAGAGAAAGGACAGCTTGGAATGACGCTCTAAGGAGCAGAGGGGTCTGCCAGTGAGTGGGGAGGGATGGGGTCTCCTGTCGAATCCAGAGCTAATCAGTTCAGCTAGGCTGGCTGGCCAGTGAGCTCCAAGCACCTGCCCATCTCTCTCCCCAGCACTGGGATTGTTAGAGGCAAGCCACTACACTCAGCTTTTACATGGGCTGTGGAGATCTGAACTCAGGTCCTCATGCTGGCACAGCAAACACTTTACTGACTGAGCCATACCCGCATGGTTTTGGTGTGCATATTCTTAATGGCAGTGTCCTGGGTCTTCTTATGTGAGTAGGCTATGCTCTTCTTACATACAGGGCTTCTGAACTCCGGGTGGTCCTTATAAGGCAAACAGGTCCTGGGCACCTAGGGAGACTAAAGTCACTCTCTGCCCTTAGAGGTGGCTTCCAGCATCCTAGGACAAGCATTGCCCCCTCCCTCTACAGGCCTTTCCTCCTCATCTGCTCAGGATGCATGCATGGTCAAAGGCACCCTCTTGTCTTGCAGGTCATCTGTAGGAAGTGCTCCGAGTTCAAGGCTGAGAACAGTAAGCAAAGCCGTGTCTGCCGAGAGTGTTTCCGGGAAGAGCCCTTGGTCCCTACAAGCCCTAGCTCTGGGACGCCCACTGAGCTCAAACAGAATGCAGAGGTGGGTGTCCCTGGGTCCTGGGACCAGCATGGATGCAGGGGGCATCTCAATGTGGTCCACAGGTCTGGAATCAGGGAAAGATGCTTGGAGTACGTACATGTCTAAAGACTCTCAGGACTAGTTAGGGCCAGGGCCTGGGAACCATTTGCGCCTAGGAGTTAGACGGAAATGTGTCAGCTCCACTCTGGGCCTGATTGGAGGTGCAGCATGAAACTGCCCCCAAATCTAGGCATTGAGGTTCATGGAGCAACTCCTTCACCTTAGGGCAGGTAGAGCCTTGGATGTGCTGCTGGTGGCTAATGATGGGGGGTTGGGTGCCAGCTCCTCCTCCATTACTACCTCTTCTTCCTGAATGTGGCTGCTACTTTCCCAGCCTTTCTTCTTAAAGGACACAGTCCCTTTTATGGAGTGGATGGACATCTCTGAAAAGGAAGCCTTTGTTTTCCAGGAAAAATACATTCTCCTTTGTCTCTACTTGATGCGTACCATTGTGGTCTCCTGGGAGTTCTCTCAAATGTCAGTCTCCCTCCCAAAGATGGTGTGGGATAGTCCAAGAGGGCTAGGGTCAGCAAATGTCAAAGCTCCTGCCACCCTGGCTGGTAGATGTGTCTAGGAAGCCAAGGGCATAAGACTATTAAGGACTGAGGCTACAGTGGCCTTGAAGATGAGACTCTGGCCCCACCTGCTGATCTGCCTTCACTCTGCACTCTCAATCTGGAGATGTATTCTGGGAGTCCCGAGGATGTGGCCTAAGGCCTTGGAGGGACACTGAGTCTTGGGTGGATCATCTCCAGCAAGAGGTATCAGAACCATGTTCATGTGGCTCAGGGGTCTTATTTCCAAGACAGCACTAAAACACATCAGAAAGGAAGCAGGGTCCAAAGGAGGTGTATGTGAGGTATGTGTATGCACACATGTGTGACATGGAAAACATGTATGTATGTGGTGAGTGGGGGTATGTAGTCTGTGTAGGGTGGAGGGTATAATGTGTTTGGTCCACTCACCCTGTGACCCATACTCTTGTACTTACTATTGAACTTCCTCCATTGATTTATTTGTTTATTTATTGTATTATTATGTAGCCCAGGCCAGCCTGAGACTTACAATCCTCCTGCCTCAGCCTCCCGAGTGCTGAGATTATAAACACAGAGCACCATGCCTGGCTTCCCCTTGATACTTTGATGTTGTCCTGACTTGGAATGGTCTCCTAAGAAGGCCCAGCTCCACACCCTACTTGAGACCACATGCAGCCACCCACTGGCCTCCAGTGACCCTTAGAACCGTATAAAGCTAGCCTCAGCCTGTATCCAGGCCTTAGCCATGTCTCTGTGGTCACCTCCTTCCAAACACAGGCCCTGGGCCAGGCCCAGACTCCTCAGGTGACAAAGAGACACTACAAGCAAAACTACCACCAATCTATTGTTCTGTCTCCAGAAGCCTCCCTCTGCGGAACCTCGGCCCAGCCTGCTCTGCGGCACCCTGCGTCTGTCAGACAATGGTACAACATGGCGTGAAGTGTGGGCAGACATCCCTGAGTCAGATCCTCAGGTGCTAGACCTGCTGGCAGGCAGCCAGGTATGTGTTCCTGTCCTTATTCATGCCCAGGGCTATGTGCTGTGAGCTGTACTCTGCTACCACAGTGCACAGCCTCAAGCCTGAAGTGCCCACAGCAGGTCTGGGCCACTTCTTTGACCTCTCCAGTCATGTGACCTGGGCCTCAACTTCTCCCAATGCCCAGAATAACCCTCTGCTCCCCTCTCATTAAAGACGGGTTCCTGTAATGTCAAAATCCCAAAGACAGCCAGAGTGGGAGCAGACATAGTCAAGGGACACAGAGGCTGGACCCTCGTCCCCACACATATTCATTCACTCACCCCTTCGTTCATTCAGACATCTTGGGCAGATGCATCTGGGCACTGCCTTGCCTTGTCCTGCTGCTCTCAACCCCCATTGCTAAGTCACAGGAGTTGTCCTGCCTCACCTACCTGGGACAGGGGTTCTGAGGGAAGCCATGGATCTGGGGAGGTCTGTTGAAATGGACAAAACCTCCTTCCAGCCACCTGAAAGCCTGTCAGGCAGTCTGTCTGCAGTTGTCCTGGTGGCAGGCTGCACTATGTGGGCCTGGGCATGGTGGCCTGGTTGGGTGGTCACCGGTGTGAGCTGGAGGCCCCACTGACCCTCTGTCTTTCCTGCAGGCTGGCAGACTGCTGCATACCATCCCTCTCTCTGGCTGTACTGTAACGGTGCCCGACCCTGAGGAGGGGCTGGAGGCAGGGTGTGTGTGGAAGCTGCATCGGGGCCCACAGACCTGGTGGCTGAGCGCCTCCTCCACACAGCTGCAGCGGTGTTGGCTGGAAGTTCTGAGCACTGCTGCCTGTGGGGACAGGGCTGGGGACAGACCAGGTGCCTCGCAGCCCCAAGCCTCGGCAAGCACCGACACTCCATGATCAGAGCCTCCTACTGTCCTTTCCATTATTGTGTGTGCCCTGTGTTCTTTTTGGGTGACCTTAGAAGTCACATGAAGGAATGAAGGACTCCCGGGACTGCTGAGGATGGACGGATGGCCCAGGGAAGAGTAGCAGTGGGCCCAAGATCACTCCACAAGTCTCATACACGAGTTGGGCTCTGGCTCCAGCCCCAGCATTGTGGTCAGAGCAGAGGAGAAGAATGGCCACTACAAAGCAAATATCATCTCAGCCCTCAAAGGCACAAGGAGGCCAGGGGGGCACCACCCAGCTGTGATCATGTCTAACCTGATGTAACATCACTCTGGGAAAGGCAGAGATGTCTGACCTGGCCTTTGTCCATCTATCCACTGTGTGAGCTGGACCACGACCTGAGTGCCACTCCTCTGACCTCCACTCCTACACTCTGCTCTCTCCTGAAGCATTGCTCATCTACTCTTCTTGCTGAGCCCTTGAAGGGAAAGGAGCAAGGACCTTCTCATCCTACCATTCCCATACAGCCACACTCGGAGACTGTGAGGAGGCCGGCCCTCACCCCTGTGTGGCAGGTTTGTGAGATTTCAGACTGGCTCCTCTAGGGGCAGGTGCCATGCTTGCCAGTGTAAATAAATGCTGGCCATCAGTTTCAGGACCTTCAAGTGCACTCTTCACAGGATTCCCCTAAGCCAGGTGGCTAGCAGAGGGATGGTGGGTAAAGGTGACAAAATGGCACGGACCACACTCTTGTCTGGGAGAGCAGTTCTGTATCCCAGATGCTGTAGGGAGTGGGTGAGAAGCTAAGCCATATGGCAGGGTGAGGGTGCTGGCAGTCAAGTTGTGGGGATGTGACAAAGGTCGTGGGGTTCAGGGTGTTCTTGCCTCTGGAGGAGTAGGAAATTTGGAGAACAGTGATGGAGTTTTGGTTCTTCAGGATTCCTGAACTCTAGCATCAGCACAGCACTGTGTGGGGACAGCTGGGCAGGCATAAGGGCAACTACCTGGTGAGATGAGGGGATGCAGAGCTAGAAATGGGTGCTGGTTATAGGGAACACTGGGAAGCTTAGATGAAGTGGGGCCTCAGGTGAGATGGGGGCTCAGGTAAGGTAGGATGGGGTAAAAGTAAAGTGGGTTGGAGCAGAAGTGAGTTGGAAGGGGCAGAGGTAAGATGTGTGGAGCAGGGGTGAGATGGACAGGATACAAGGGTACAGGTGAAGTGTCAGAACACAGCTGAGTCTATGCAAGAGCCAGCTAGACTGGGCATGGCTGCCTGGGGATTGCTTGCAAACACCTGGTCCTTTGCTTTGCACTCACTGTGCTGAGCTGAATGGTCCCACTTCGCCCTGAGGAAACAGCAAAACAAACAGAACACTTGCACACTTGGAGGAATGAGGCCAGGCTCTTTTAGCTCCTACTCAAGGGAATGCAGTGAAGACCTTGCCCAGTTCTGGATGGGACAGTGGTGAAGGTGGTCCGGGGGAAAAGCAACTGAAGGAGGTGCCTTCCTTGGCTCAGCACACTGCGTGGTGGACGTACCGGATGGACACAAGCCTTCAGGCTCTGGCCATCCTCTGCTGCTTCCTCCTGCTCATAGACATCCTGGCCTTTGCGGTTCAAGGATTTCAAGTGCCTATCCTCTGAAGAACCAGAGCCTGAGGAGGATGCCTCTGTGGATCCTGCCCCCAGGATGTGGACTAGTCAGCTTGCAGTTTGGGGGCCCCTGGTGCTACCTGAGCAGAAAGGTGTATAGGTTACGTTTCTTGTTGCTGGGACAACATATTAGACAAGCACCTTACAGAAGCAAGGGTTTGTTTGGCTCACAGTTTGAGGGTACAGTCCGTCATGATGGGGGAAACAGGCTGAGGGAGTGCTGGCTGCATTCTGTCCAGTCAGAGAGCAGGAAGGGATGAACTGGGGTCCTACCCACTTTCTCCTTCTTATTTATTCCTAAGCCGTGGAATGTTGCTGTTCACATTCGGGGTGGGTTTTCTCTTCTCAATTAAACCTTTCTGGAAAGACCCTAATGACACGGCCAGAATTTTGTCATCTTAGTGATTCTGAGTCCTACCAGGTTGGCAACACCAACCATTACAAGTCCACCCCTTGTCAATTTGACACTCAAACCCACCACTCTTAAACTTTTCTACCCTTGGAAGCCTTATTCATTTATTCTTTATTATTATTCATTTCATAAAGCATTTGCAAACTCTTCCCAATTTCAAAATTTTCCCAAGGTATAAGCACAGAGTCTCTGCTGAGTCTCAGGCAATCTCTTAACTTCAAGGCCCTGTGAAATAAAAAAAAAAAAATACAAGTTACATACTTCTAATATTCAGTGGTACAGAATAAGTGCTCCCATTTCAAAAGTGAGGATTGGGGCATGGAAAGGAGACTCAACATTTAAGAGCACTCGCTGCTCTTACAGAGGACCACAGTTCAGTTTCCAGCACCCCATCAGGTGGTTCACAGTTACCTGTAGCTTCAGCTCCAGGGGACCTGGTGCCCTCTTTTGGCCTCTGTAGGTACCCACATGCATGTGAAAACACATGGGCACAAATAAAACAAGTCTTCAAAACTGAGGATTAGAGGCACAACTAAGTAAGATTGAATCAAAGCAAAGCTGTAACCCAGCAAGCTGAACACCAAGTCTTGATCCAGCACATGGCACAGTGGCATCATCTAGGCTCCCACAGCCTTGGGTATCCCCTCCTCTCCACTTCTGCTTCCTGCAGCCCACATGGCCTGTCTTTTCGTTCAGTTCCACCCCATATCTGCAGCTTTCCTCGAGAGGCATCTCATAGTCCTGGCATCTTCAACATCCTAGAGTTGCAACTCTAGGCTCTGCCTTCACAGTTTCACACAGTGGGCTTTCAAATCTCTTTGAAGAGAATCTGACCACATCAGACATTGTCTGGTAACAGCTGCTTTCTAGGACTTTAGTGCAAGCCTACCAAACGCTGAAACTCTTGCATCTTGCATGCCGACAACCAGCACTAAGTTCTGCTTCTGGCTCCCCTCTACCCCAGCTGCGGTGGCTGTGTGTACCAGGGTGGTCTAATCACAGGAGACACTTCTCTAGGTTTGTTTTCAAGCAGGAAACCTCAGTGGCATTCACAGGCCAGGCTCTTTCCTTTCAAACGGATTTGTGGTCTACAAGTTGGAGCCCTCCATGGGTGGGCTCTTGAGGTCAGGGTACCTTCCCCATTGTCCTGGTGATGAGCTGAGGTTTCTCTTTAAGTGCGTTAATGTCTGTAACAGGGACAGCTGCATTCACAGCAAGGCCTCCAGTGGACTTTGCACTCCCTCACACTCTTTTGCTCACTAAGCTGCACACTTTCCATCTTTTCCTGCTCCAGTTTCTACTTTGTTTACTGTAGACTTAGAAGAGCAGACAGTGACCACAGGCCGAATGCTATCCTGTCTTGAAACATCCTCCACCAAGCAAATTAGTCTATTGCCTTTGAATTCAGCCTCCCTCAAGTTTTTGGAACATGGACAGACTTCAGGCAGATGCTTTGTCAGAATATCACACACATGACCTGTAACCCAGTTCCCATAGAGAGAGTCCTTGTTCCCCTCTGAAACCGCATGAGCCAGGCCCTCACAGTTTCTCTCCACATTCTGGTCCTCTAAACTCCCACCAGAATGGCCCATTAAGCTCTATCTACAGGAGAATTCTAGGGCTTCTCTAGCCTGCAGCTCTGAATTCCGACATTCCCTTTCCTCTTGCCAGCTCATTCTAAAGGCCCAAGAACCACATGGTCAGGTTTCTCACAGAATAGCCCTGCTCCTTGGTACCAATTTTCTGTATCATTTACTTTTTCCTTTGCTCAAAAGCAACTAGAGGAAGGAAGGGCTTTTTTTTTTTTTCCCTCACAGTGAGAGGATAGGTCCTTCAGGGCAGGAGAGGCATGGCATCAGGAGCGTGAGGCAGCTGGTCACATGGCATCCACAGTCAGGCAACAGAGCGCTGAGCTCTGAGTGCTGCTGCTTGCTCAGCTTAACGTTTTTCTTCCGTCCTGGACTCTCTGTTGTGGGATGGTGCCACCCTCATTCAGGGTGGGCCCTCCTTGCTCAGTCCGTTCTCCCTGGAAACTCCCTCACAGACAGGCACATGTTCGTCTTCTTAGTGATTACAAGGTGACAGTTCAGGATGACATCAGGAAAGATTTCTACATCCACGCGCACAGGAGATAGTGTAAAAGGGCTGGAAAGGTGGCTCAGAGGTTCTGAGCCCTTGTTGCTCTCCCAGAGGATCCTGGTTTGATTCCCAACAAATGGCTCACAATCATCTGCAGCTCCACTTGAAGGAAAGAGTGTAAAACCATGGAGAGGAGGGTCCCACACAGGGGGCAAAACCCAGCCTCTGTGTCGGCACTCAGCCAACTGGCCACCTCACCTGGCACACCATCCCCACTATGCCCAGAACACTGGCTTCATCCCCACTGTGCCGAGGACAAGAGGTCAGCTTGCTGCAGGCCAGGCTGGGCTGGGGGTCGGAATCGTAATTCATCTCGCATGGCGCATACTGAGGCACACAGAGAGAGTACACCTGCCTGAAGTCACACAGTGAGTGAGAGGTCAGCTGGGTTCACTCCCCGGTCACCCATTTGTTCACATGCCAGGCACGGCTGCCACACATCCTGAGTGCCAGCCTCACGGGGATGGGGGAGTGGGTGCACTGGATGCCTCGTGGGCTTCTGGGATCAGAGGTACTGGATGCTGCCTGTGTCTCTTGGTCCTGTCAGTCACACTTCCACCCTTGCTTTCTCCTGCTGACATCGTCGTTCCCCCCACCCCAAGTGCAGGCTCAACCTACCAGCCTGCGAGCCGGCCGGTGGTGGCACACGCCTTTAATCCCAGCACTTGGGAGGCAGAGCCAGGCAGGTCTCTGTGAGTTCGAGGCCAGCCTGGGCTACAGAGCAAGATCCAGGACGGGCACCAAAAATTACACAGAGAAACCCTGTCTCGAAAAACAAATAAAACAAAAAACCCTACCAGCCTGCAGAAACAGCTGACCTCCTGCTACCTCAGGGCCTTTGCACGTGTTGCTGCCTGTGCTGGGACATTGGCAGGGCTCTTTGTATGAGACCTTATATGGCCGCCTGTGAGAGCCCCAGTCCTTCCACCATCCTGCTTAACTCTTAGCCTTCTTGTTTATTCTATTGCCCCATGTGACGTTGGCATGCCGAGAGTGGGCTGGGATGGCTCAGTGGGTAAAGTGTCCTCTCAGCAAGAATGAGGACCTGAGTTTGGATCTCCAGACCCCACAGAAGAGTCAGGTATGGCAGAGCACCGAGCGCATCTGTAATCATAGTGCTAGTGTAAACAGATCCCTGGACTCATTGGCTAGCCAGCATACCAAATTGATGAACTCTAGGTTCAGTGAGAGACTCTGTCTCAAATGAGAGATTGATGAAGACACCTGATATTGACCTCTTGACCACCACACACATGTGCACATGCACACGCATAGGCACACATCCACATGAACACACACACACACACACACACACACTCACACACACTCACACACACAGGATACAGCCTCTAAGCAGGACCTGGCATGCAATGGGAGCTCAGTGAACAACTGCAGGGAGCCTGGAAAGGCCCAACGTGGCCCCTGAATACTTTGTATGTGGACTTCTCAGGCAGATGGAAAAAAAGAGAGAGAGAGAGACTGCCCAAGGTTGAGGAGGCCTATACTCCCCTGACTCATCCAGGCTTCCCAAGGCATCGGAGACAGCTCTTGCTCACATACCAACTTCCACTGTAGAGACAGGGGAACTGAGTCCTAGACAGGTCACTATACCCTAGGTCCATACCCAAGGTAGATAGGAACTTGGACCCAGTGGGTCAGACTCCATACATGCCTGCCTCTCACTCTCCCGTGGAGGCAGTAGGGCTGGCCCGAAGCCTGAGGTTGCCAAATTCTAGTTTCCTAGCATGCAGGCCACCAACCCTCTCTGCCTGTGTGGTCTCTGGGTTGGACATTAAGCACCCGTTGCTCCAAGACCTTTCTTGCTGCCCTTTAGCAACCAGTCCAGGCAGTGGGTGTCCAGGGAAGGGAGAAGCTCACTTTGTCTCTGGACAGGTCTTAGGGGCATGGCGGCGAGAAGTCTGGGCCCAGCCAGCAGTCATGACGGCTGCTGTATGGTGATTCCATGGCTAGATCCTTCAGTGGCTGCCTTGAACTGTCTTCCTTGCAGGGTTCCCCATGGGCATGGGTGAGGCCAGATGTCCGTGGGTGGGTCTAAGCCTGTCTACCTTCTCAGTACTGCCAGGCAGTCCTCCCGCAATGCTCCTTCCGTCCTCATCAATCACCATAGGTGGAGCATTCCTGGGGAGGAGACTGAGAGAGAGGATCCACCCAGACCACAGGCTCCTTCTCCCAGCCCTGGGCTCCACCTCTGATTGCTGGGGTGTCATGATGCCAGGGCTGCAGGTCTGGGTGAGGCAAGGTGGGAGGCAGTAGACCAGGGCAGGCTATGGGAAAGCAGTAGCCTCCGCCAACATCCTACACATTCCAGGCGTCCTTGGCCCACCCAGCCCGTGGGTGTCTGAGTTGGGTGCCTGCTCTCAGATGGGAGTTCTAACCCAGCCTCCAGCAATCCTCCAGAAATCTGCTTCTTAACCACTGGGACAAGGTGTGGTCACACAGCAACCCTGCATCACCATCCAACCTATCAGTTCGCCTTTGGATCCTGAGGACTTCCAGACCTCTTCCTGCTGGGCCATAGGAAACACATACCCAGAGGCTGTCCTGGGTAGGAGCATTCCCAGAGGTCTCTGAGGATGGTACCCATCCTCTCTGCCATCTTTGCTCTCCCTGTGCTTGCAAAGCCAAGGATGTGCTGTCCAGAGATTGGACTCACCCATCTCTGACCAGCTGGGGCAAGACTCAGGCCTACAGGAGACTGTGCCAACAGGTGATACAGGAACATAAATCATCTCAGAGAAACATTAGAGGCAGGGCATGCGTCACTGCAGCTCTTAATTCTGGGAAAGTCAGGGGTATGCTAAG